AGCCCGATGCGGGACTCGATCCCGGGACTCCAGGATCATGACCTGAGCCGAAGGCAGTCGCTTAACCAACTGAGCCACCCAGGCGCCCAAAATTATGAACTTTTGTTCATCGAAAGAGACAAGAAATGAAAGATATAGACAAACCACAAATAGGAAAAAATATTGGCAACACATATACAGCCATACCTTGGGGATATCATGGGCTCAGTTCCAGACCAGCACAATAAAGCAAATATTGCACTAATATGAATTAAATGAATTTTTTGGTTTCCCAGTGCAGACTACAAGTTATGTTTAAACTATACTGTCTTTTAGGGCACATGGGTGGCTTCAGTTGGTGCATCTGCCTTTGGCTCAGGTCATGATCCCAGGGTCCTGGGATAGAGCCCCACATCAGGCTCCCTACTCAGCTGGGAGCCTGCTTCTCCCTCTCCCTCTTCCTCTGCTGCTCCCCCTGCTTGTGTTCTCTCTCTCTCTGTCAAATAAATAAACTATACTGTCATTTATTAAGTGTGCAATAGCATTATGTCTAAAAAAGCACATATCCTAATTAAAAAATACTTTATTGACTACATCAAAAACTAATGATGTAATGTATGGTGATTAACATAATATAATAAAATTAAATTAAAAAAATACTTTATTGGTAAAAAATGCCAACCATCATCCGAGTTTTTAATGAGTCATACTCACGGATAATAGATCTCCATAACAAATATAATAATAACAATGAAAAAGTTTGAGATATTCCAAGAATTACCAAATGTGACACAGAGACACAAAGTGAACAAATGCTGTTAGAAAAATGGTGTCAAGAGAATTGCCTGATGAGGGTTGCCACAGACTTTCAATTTGTAAAAAAACGCAGTACCTGTGAAGCACAGTAAAGTGAAGAGCAATAAAATGAGTGTGCTTATAATAAAAAAACCTCTTAAAAATCAATTTTAAAAAACTTCAATAGAAAAAATGGACAAAAGACATAAACAGCCGTTTTATGGGAAGAGAAACTTAGCTGGCTATGTATTAGTCCGCTTAGACTAACATAACAAGATATCATAGACTGGGTTGCTTAAACAACAAAGTTATTTCTCACAGTTTTGGAGGCTTGGAAGTCCAAGATCAAAGTGCCAACAAGGTGGGTTTCATTCTGAGGCTTCTCTCTTGATTTGCAGGCAGCTACCACCTCCGTGTGCTCACTTGACCTCATCTTCGTGTGCACAGTGGGTTAGTGGGTTCAAGGGGAGCGTGAGGGGTGGAGAAAGAGAAAGAAAGGGAGAGAGGAAGGAAACAAGTTTTCTGGTATTTCTTTTTATAAAATTACTAATCCCATCATGAGGGACCCATTCCCCTGAACTCATCTTATCCTAACTACCTCCCAAAGGCCCCATCTCCAAACACCATCACATTGGGAGTTAGGGCTTCAACATGAATTTGGGGGAGGAGGGACACAATTCAGTCTGTAGCATCTTATAAACATCTTTTTACTGCCTGATCTCATAAATGATCAGGTAATGTAAATTTTTTTTAAGTTTTTTTTTTATTTTTTTTATTTGAGAGAGAGAGAGAGAATGAGAGATAGAGAGCACGAGAGGGAAGAGGGTCAGAGGGAGAAGCAGACTCCCTGCTGAGCAGGGAGCCCGATGCGGGACCCGATCCCGGGACTCCAGGATCATGACCTGAGACGAAGGCAGTCGCTCAACCAACTGAGCCACCCAGGCGCCCTGGTAATGTAAATTATAACAAAATGAAACATCATTTTACACTCACCAGGTTATACAAAATTTAAACATCTAATGATATTAAGTGTTGGCAAGGATGTGGAGGAAGGGAACTCATTCACTACTGGTGGGAATGTAAATCGGTCAGAGTTTCGAAAAGAGGTATTTTCTAGTGCAATTGAAGATGTACATGCCATATGTTCCAGCAGTTCTGCTCTCAGATATATACACCGGTTTTCAAATTGCTGGGTGCAAACCAATAGTAAATTGGGAAATTAATTTTAGTGGTGCTGAAGTATAATTTCCCAAAAGGTAAAATTAGGACTGTCATAGAAATATAAAATTAGCACATGCCAAAAATGTTTATATTAATTAATGACGGAGCCAGTAAAATGGTACAGGAATGCTGTTATGACTTTGCTAAGAATCAGGAATGTTGAATTTGTTGAGAGGGAAGAGTGGTTTAATATGCCATAGGTTAATATAACTTAATGTTTTTTTGTTTGTTTGTTTGAAGATTTTATTTATTTATTTGACAGAGAGACACAGCGAGAGAGGGAACACAAGCAGGGGGAGTGGGAGAGGGAGTAGCAGGCTTCCCGCTGAGCAGGGAGCCTGATGCGGGGCTGGATCCCAGGATCCCGGGATCATGACCTGAGCTGAAAGCAGACGCTTAACGACTGAGCCACCCAGGCGCCCCCAACTTAATGTTTTTTTGTGTAATCTTTTCTACAGAGTGGACAAGAATTATTTTAAATACCCATTTTCTTGCAAAATAGCTTCGTCAATAGAAAGTCATAGGTCCTTATGGATTCAAATCCTTCCAAAGTCTGCTAGACAATGCCTAGCCTTACACTAAAAGGGCACCCAAGTAATCGCTTTTGCTCATTTCCGAGTCTTGGACAATAATTTTTCTGACAAGGGGTCCCTGTGAGCACTTTTTGGTAATGAATCGAAAAGAGGAAATAGAAATTTAGTGAATTGTTGGCAGTAAGTACGTAGTTCTGTGAAATTTTTGTTTCAGATATATACATCTGTATATACGTATGTGATATTATTGGGTTTGAGATAGAATGTTTTTGTTCATTGTTGGCCGGGATCAAAATATTTGAAAGCCACGGATGTGACATATTATGAGGTTCAACAGTGAAAAGAACTAGACGTTTGCAGTTCTCCCTTCCCTCAAAAGTAGGCAACCATCCAAATGCCAGGCTTAGGCAAACTTAGAAAATGATTTGAGAGGCGCCCAGGTGGCTCAGTCCTTAAGCGTCTGCCTTCAGCTCAGGTCTTGATCCCAGGGTCCTGGGATCGAGCTCCGCATCGGGCTCTCTGCTCAGCGGGAAGCCTGCTCCTACGTCTCCCACTCCCCCTGCTTGTGTTTCCTCTCTCGCTGTGTCTCTGTCAAATAAAATCTTAAAAAAAAAAAAAGAAAAGAAAATGATTTGAGTGAATGGTAAAGAATAAAGAGAAGATAGAAATATCGAATCATGTTGTTACCCATGAAGCTAAAGTTATATGTCAATTACATCTCAATTACATCTCAAGTTAAAAAAAAGAGAAAGAGAGAAGCGCAGCCCTGGGGTTTGTCTCTGTCTTTCCTTAACACTGAGATTCGCTGGCTATCTGAGACGCCACAAGAATGGAGAGAACGTAGGTGCAGTGAAACGGTCGAGCCGGCCAGCCCCAACAGGCAAGAGCTTGGACGTGCAGCTGTGCAGTTCGCCTGCGGGGAATCCAACACCAGCCCCGGGCCACAGCCGCTAGGCTCAGGGAGCCGCCACTACCCGCAAGCGGAAGAACACTGCGCACGCGCAGACCCGACCGGGGCCGGCGGCGCGCGAGAGTCACTCCTCAGCAGGCCTGGCCTCGCCTCCAGCCCTCGGCCGGCCGCTGTGTCCAGTCACCTCCGCCTCGTCGGCCCAGCCGGGTTTCCCCCGCCCTCTCGGCGCCGGTGCTGGTAGCGACTGCGCGCGCAGGGCCTGAGCGGGCGCCGGCGGGAAGGGGAAGCGGCGGGTAAGAAGGGCCTGCGTCCGGGTGCGACTATGACGGGGTTGGGAATGACCTCTTCGCTCTTACGGCTCTTGGGACCCCTGAGGAGAGGAGAGGAGCCTCTGATAGTCAAAGTGTTTTCGCTCTCACCTTTCGCTTGGCCTCGTCCGGTCCGCTCCTGCCTCTCCTTTCCCCGCCCCCACCGGGGAATGCGAAGGCCGAGCCCCCAACCTGTCAGCTAGCCCCAGACAAGTGTGAGGTGCCTTCTCCGCCATTTAGGTAGCGCCGCATGTTTATCCTCTTGTAGTGTCGCAGCAGCTTGGGGGTAACGCTCCAGATCCCCCACTCAAGCACAGAGCCTCGGTTTTTTGACGCTTGCTTTTTCTGCCACCCTTTGCTGAAGCAGCTTCCCGATGCTCTCGGCAGTAAAGTCAAGGCCACCAAACATAGGTCTTCACTTCTGGGCATCTCCACCGTTTCCTAATAATCTTCCTTTCAAGCTTGGGTCTCTTGAGGCACGTCCCTCACATCCATATGCAGAGTCCCGGAGTTATGCTCTTTCCTTTTGGAAATACGGTCACACATGTGCCGCCTTTTGGAATGAAGTTCTTCACTGGCAGTGGGATAGTATCAGCAATTACTAAGAAGCATGGTAACACGTTAGGATTTCTGCTGTCTGCTACCCCAGTGGATGGATATTCAGTGAACTATTTAGTAGCAGGAGGCAGCATTTTAGCTCAGTGGCTGTGCTTGATGCCTCGAAGTTGGGGGCAGAGGAGGTACCTGACAGGAAGAAATCTAAAACAGAAAAAAAGCCTAACAGCCATGTCATGTTTAATAATACTCTGCAGGTCAAATTTCAATGTAGAGACAAATGCACTGTTTGCTTTTATATGCTGGTTAAATGTAATATGTTGACATTCTGTAAATGCTTGTTGGAAGTTTTAGCAGCTGTCTTGGAACTTCTCAATCAGATTTCTCAATTCCTAGATAATCATGATAATCAGCTTAGTTTTACTTTGATAAGTTTGAATGCTGTAAACTTAACCACTTTTTTCTAACATCAGCCCACACCTTTCTGTCAGTCTTATTACTAGTTCCCGTTGATGCCTACATTACAAAACCGTAGTCATCTTGGATTTCCCTTGTGCTTCATCTCCAAATGTATTATATTACTGGATCTCATGGTTTCTTTATTTAAAAAGTAAGTTGGATTTATCCCTTAGATTCTCATTGTTGAAGCTGTAAGGCTGTTTTCAAGGACTTTGCTACCTCTCAGCTCATTCCCTGGAAGGTTCATATAACAGTTCTGAAACATGACTGTTGTCATGTTTACTCTTGAGTCTATAGTGGCTAAATTTCTGTGCTTGGGTTTCAAAGCCTTTTCTCTATAACCTGGTCTAATAATTCCTATGCATGTGATATGGTGGGGAAAGCCCAGGATTTAGAGTAATAAGACTTGGATTCAAATACTGAGACTGTCATTATACTAACACTGTGTCCTTGGGAAACTTTGAGCTTCAGTTTCCTTTTCTCTCATTTCAAATAACAAGACCTTTTCTTCCAGCTTCTTAATTATTGTGAGGATTACATTTGGCAGAATATGTGGAAAAGCTATCATAGACAAAAACAACCTAAGCTATTGTTATTTCTCATTTAATTGTTCATTTCACAAATATTTGAAAACTTAATATATGTTAGGTACTGGTGCTACTACTATGAAAGATAGTCCTTGCCCTTAAGAGACTGTCTTTCAGGAAGCTTTCAGAGAATGTATGTTTCTCTAGGAAGTAGAGTGGTAGAGTGTCTGACAAGGTAGAGTGTGATATAGACTGTAAAATAGGCAAGTTTAGGATGAGCACCAAATCCAGAGGAGAGAGGAACAGGGAAGGTTCTGCAGGAAATTATGTTTGAACAGAATCTTGAATTATAACAAAGACCCAAAAGGAAAAGGTGGGGAAGGATGTCTTGAAAGAGACACTTTTAGAGAACTGCAAATTATTAAGGTTTTGTTGGAGTATTAAGTTCAAAGAAGAGTATGGGAGATAGGACTGGACAGGTAGACAGAGGTGAGATTTGAAGGACTTTGTGTGCCAAGAGAAGTGTGCTAATTGAAGGATTGTTAAGCAGACAGTTGGCCTGATCACAGTTGGTTTTTGAAAATTCATTCTGCCTGGAGTGTGTGCTTCCTTACCTCAGTATACAAAAACTTCTGCCTTTGTGCCTTTTCTTATTGTCTTTATTTCACCTAGAAGGGCTTATGCCCTCTCCTCATATGTTAATCTTTATCTTGCAACATCCAGTTCAGGTTGCATTTCTACCGTGAAGCATCCTCCAATTATTTTAGGCCCCATTACTTATTCCCTTCCCTGAAACCCTATTAGGAATAGTACCACACAGGTTTAGTCCTTATTTGTTTTGTGTGTGTTTTATGTCCCTAAGTAGATTGTAAGCTTCTTGAGGATAGCGAATGTTTGATATGTGTGTGAATAGAAGACGTGTTAAACACAAAAATATGTTTTCTGGTCTCCTTCTATTTTGTTTTTCAGGGTAGGACCAGATTATGGGCAGCAGTCCTTTTAATTAATCTGTCATCATGGCTAATGAGGACTGTCCCAAGGCTGGTGATAGTCCATTTTCATCAGATAAACATGCCCAACTCATCTTGGCCCAGATCAATAAAATGAGGAATGGAGAGCATTTCTGTGATGTACAGCTGCAAGTTGGGAAGGAAACTTTTAAAGTTCATCGGCTGGTTTTGGCTGCCAGTAGTCCTTACTTTGCAGCTTTGTTCACTGGAGGAATGAAAGAGTCCTCAAAAGATGTTGTACAGATTCTAGGAATTGAAGCTGGAATCTTTCAAATACTTCTAGATTTCATTTATACAGGTATGTTAAGTGAGCCTATAGCTTTGAGTGAAGAATGATGTAATCACTCATGCATTGCAATGGGAATATAAATTGATACAACTTCTATGGAAAGTAATTTGATAATATGTTATTATAACTGAAAAGTTCATATCTTTTGACCCAGTATTCCTTTTCTAGGAATCATGAGGAATTAATTAGTGATGCAGGCAAATATTTATGTACCAGGATGTTTATTGTAACATTATTTATAACAGTACATAATTGAATACAATCTAACTATCCCTCAGTAGGTTATATGGTTAAATAAATTATGGCACGTGTATATATCATGGAATATATTTTTAGATCTCTCAAATTATTTAAACATATGCTATGGAAGAGTGTTTACAATATATTAAATGAAAAAAATTTTGGATATAAGTACTGCTCTAGTTTTGTAAAGAAAAAAAATCATTTTATTTGTGCACAGGAAAAAGACCAGATGTTGATAAATGTTTATCTCTGGATGGTGGAATATGGAAGATCTTTATTTTTCCCTCTTTTTCTTTTTCCCCTCAAAATATTTATAATCAGCATGTATTTTAATTAAAACTTTTATTTTTAAAATGTTTTTAAAGAGTTTTGATAACATTAGAAAATGCACACAAAAAACCATGAAGTATAAGTTTTATATGATATGTAACAAATATACATAGAAATAAGATTTGAAAGAAAGACACTAAAGTGTTAGTACAGTGTCTGTCTGTGGGAAAATGCATGATTTTCATTTTTATACTTTTCTGCCTTGAAGTTTTTTTCTGTGGCGAATATAATATAGTCAGAAAAAATATTTGAAAACAAAGACTATGTTTGGTCATCATACTCTCCTTAAAGGACTACTTAGTGGGAGATATTTTTTTTTTAAAGATTTTATTTATTTATTTGAGAGAGAGAGATAGTGAGAGCAGGAACACAAGCAGGGGCCGCGGGAGAGGGAGAAACAGGCCTCCCACCAAGCAGGGAGCCCAATGCGGGGCTTGATCCCAGGACCGTGGGATCAGGACCTGAGCCAAAGGCAGACGCTTAAGGACTGAGCCACCCAGGCGCCCCTGGTGGGAGATAATTATGTGACCTGATAAAGTATTATCTATTTAGTGCATGGTATTTAAACCTCGAAAATGACAAAAGGAATTTTCTTTGTGTTGTTTCTTATTATGTTTTGGAAAATATCAGAAAATAACTCTTAATTTGGAGATTATAAAAATGACTATGTTTTATTTACCGAAAGCAATGCAGCCCTGTCTATTGGCTAATGTACAAATTAGCATTGAGGGATTTTTTTTTTTAACCTTTTCTAAATGACTTGGTGAGCTGAAAACAGCTTCATAAATGTCCTGCTTCTCTTATTTGCAAAGTGTAAATTAACACAGATTAATCCAATGGAATTAGTGTTGAACTATGCAAAAACAGAAGAAATGCTGCAAGGTGTTTATTCTGCCTCTTGTCTAAGGGTAGCAGCAAGAGATACTTAGTGAAAGATGTTCCTGGTACTATCACTATATTGGTGATTAGCACTGCCATCAAATAAATAAAAAGTGGTAAACCCAGAGAAATAAAAGCTATTGAACATATCTGGGAGAAATAACGTTCTAGAATATTGACACTTAAAGCTATAATTGGTATAACAATTAAGAAGAGAATTTGGCTACAGGTAAAAGATACCAAGTGACTTAACAAGATAGTTTCTTTTTCCACAGAAGTGAATTCATAATAAGCATTCCAGGGATGGTATGGTGGCTTCATGATGTCCTTAGTGTCCTAATATTCTCCCAACATTTTGCTCTACCATCTATAGCTTGTAGCGTCTAATGTCATGATTGCTGAATTCCAGACAGTGGAAGGAGGAAGGGAAAAAGGCAAAAGGGCCTGCTGAGACTGTGCTCTTTTTAAGCTTTTCTGGTAGCCATACCCAGTAACTACTGTCTATATCCCATTGACCAAACAGTAAAAAGTTCATCCCTATCTCTAAATGGGGCTAAGAAATATAATTTTTAGCAGGGCATAATTACTACCCACAACAAAATCAAGGTTCTTTTTTTTTTTTTAAGACTTTATTTATTTGAGAGAGAGAGCACAAGCAGGACAGAAGGAGAGGGAGAAGCAGACTCCCCGCTGAGCAGGGAGCCCAACTCGCTGCTCGATCCCAGGACTCTGGGATCATGACCAGAGCCGAAGGCAGACGCTCAACCAACTGAGCCACCCAGGTGCCCCCTTTTTTTTTTAAATAAGCTCTACGCCCCATATGGGGCTTGAACTCAGAACCCCCTGGTCAAGAGTCACATGCTGTACTGACTGAGCCAGCAAGGTATCCCATATGAATACTTTTTGTGAGCTAAGCACTAGGGATATAACAGTAAACAAGACAGGCAGGGCCTCTGCCTTCTCAGAGCTTTATAAGTAGTGCAGTTTAAGTACTAACAAATTTGAAATGAACTTGTGAGAGCCTCATATTCCTTAGTTGCAAAGTGGGGATAACATTTCATAATTCATGTGAAAATTGAATGAGATAAATTTTCATAAATGTAAAAGTGCTTTTTGTAATCTATAAAGCCTTATATAGTTATAGGACATTCTTTTTATTGCTCTCAAGTAACTCTTGGCTTTATCCAGTGGCAGACATTCAGTCTTCATAGATTACAACCCATGATCTTGTCCAAATTTGTTGTGAATTCTCATTTCATTCAATTAAGTCTTTTTTTTTTTTCATTCAACTAAGTCTTATCTCAGTTTTCTCTGCAGCCTACCATTTACTCCCATGGTGGATTCCATTTCTTCCTTTCGAGAACCCGTGTTTGCATTCAGCAAGCGATATTCTTCCTCTCACCATAATCACTTTGGCCATTAATTAATTTTTTTTTAAAGATTTATTTATTTATTTTGAGAGACTGAGAATGAGAGAGAGAGAGAGCGAGAGCGCGCACATGAGGGGGGGAGGGTCAGAGGGAGAAGCAGACTTCCAGCAGGGAGCCCGATGCGGGACTCGATCCCGGGACTCCAGGATCATGACCTGAGCCGAAGGCAGTCGTTTAACGGACTGAGCCACCCAGGTGCCCTGGCCATTAATTTATTTAAAACATTTTTTTGAGTGCCTAGTGGGCGCTAGGCATTGAGAATAGAGAAGGGGAAGCCTTCCCCGCAACAGACTTTATAAATCTTATTGGGAATACAAATTTTAGACAAATAGTTTAGGGGGTGAATATCATAAAAGGGATAAAGGGAAGTATAAGATTGAATGGAGAGTTTGTCCCTATCAGGTAGGAGAATTACAGTGTTTTTCTTCCCTTCTAAATATATTTGACTAGTTGGTGTTCTTCCAAAGTCATATATGTAAATATATGGAAGTCAAGTCATCTAGAAAGAAAGTGGCGTACATACTTACTTAAATGTTAAGTATTTAATAACTTCTCATATATTATAGACACTTGCTTATACCTAGTATTAAAAATTAATGTTTGTATGGTACTTTATCATAATTGAAGATGGGGACCCTGTCTTACCCCAGTGCCTCAGTAAATGTTAGATGTATATAGCCTAATGTTAAAATGTTAAAAGCATGGACTTTGATGTCAGTCCCTACCCTCAGTCACTTGACCATGTGACTTGGAGATAAGTTATTTAAACTTTCTAATTCTTCAGGGCACTTGGGTGGCTCAGTTGGTGAAATCAAGAGATTTCAGCTCAGGTCTTGATCTCAGGATCCTGAGTTCAAGCCCCACATTGGGCTCCATGCTGGGTGTGGAGTCTACTTAAAAAACATTTTTTTAATATATAATAAATAAACTTTCTATTTCTGTTAAATTGATAGAAAAAGAAAAAATAATAACACCTCTTTGGGGTTGTAGTGACAGTTAAGTGAATGGATAAAACAATTAATGTTTCTGTCCATTGTAAGTGTTCCATAAATGTTAAGCATCATCATTTAAGTTTTGCACTCTTTATACAAATCCTTTGTTGCCTTTTTACTTAGCATCTATCTACTCAGCAAATACAAAGCTATCAGTAGATTTAAATATAATGCTTTTTTAATATAAGTCAAATGTTTGTTTTTATTTTGTTGGTTATTTTGTCTCCCTAATTCCCTAGGTATAGTGAACATAGGTGTGAATAATGTCCAGGAGCTGATTGTTGCAGCAGACATGCTACAGTTGACTGAAGTTGTTAATCTATGCTGTGAATTTCTGAAAGGACAAATTGATCCATTGAACTGCATTGGGCTCTTTCAGTTCTCTGAGCAAATTGCCTGCCATGATCTTTTGGAATTCACAGAAAACTACATTCATGTCCATTTCTTGGAGGTTCACAGTGGGGAAGAGTTCCTGGCGCTTACAAAAGATCAACTAATCAAAATTTTGCGAAGCGAAGAGCTCACTATTGAGGATGAATATCAGGTCTTCTTAGCTGCAATGCAATGGATTCTGAAGGACCTGGGAAAAAGAAGAAAACATGTGGTAGAAGTGCTAGAACCAGTTCGATTCCCTTTATTACCTCCTCAGAGGCTTTTAAAGTATATAGAAGGTAATTTTTTTTGCATATCAAATGAGTGAATATCCAGTGGCTTTTTCTCTGTTTGAAATGTGATAATGTTTTCATTTTTCAGTTGAATAGCAGACATTTATTGAATGATTAATATATGCAAGATACAACTTTTGTGTTTTGCGGATAGTAGCATTTCAGTATTTCTATCCATTATTTTGATCAAAGTCTTACATACCTTTCCTGAGATTAAATACTAAGGGAGATTAGAGTTATAGATAAAATTACTGACAGAGCTAAAATACCACTGCTGTTTTTGGTAGTACTGATTATTTCAGTGTAAGATTTCCTCTTGCTCCCCTAAAAACTTTAGCAAAACCTGACACTTGAGGAAAATGCATATGCTAAAAACAAAACCCAAACTCAATAAATCCTGTAAGTCTTCTCATTATAAAATTAATTTTATATTAATATAATATCATAGCTTCTAAATAGCCTTTGAATCATCTTTAGGTACTAAACTCTGAAAATACTTTTCATCATGGTATAAAACAGTGTTAATTTTTATATTAGAAAAATGATAATATATACACATATAAATATAATATATTATTAATTAATTGATATATTAATATTTTATTTTTAAGCACTCTACACCCAATGTGGGGCTTGAACCCACAACCCCAAGTTCAAGAGTCACATGCCCCACTGACTGAGCCAGCGAGAGGTGCCCCATATTTAAATTTATTTTTATAAACTACCTTAGACCTGATTTCAAGATTTGAAGCTCTTACTCTTGTCATGCACTGAAACTTTAGGATGTGACTGAGTTACAAATGATCTTATCAATTAAATACACTATTAGCATTAAAGGTGTAATTCTGTGAAAGAATTATATTTAATGTGGATTTTTATTTTTTTTCCTACTCTTAACAATATTAACAGGTTTTTCTGAGTGATATCTTTTTATTAATGTATATACATTACTCAATCAATTCTTATTATTCACAATAGTTATGTTCTATAAAGTTGCCACAAACACTGAATTGGCAAATACTGAGATATTGTTCCTAGGGGAAATACTGGGTAAGTTCTTACCTAGGTCACAGTATTTTTGCCACCTGATCAATACAGAACCTTGTTTTATGTGTGTTTCTATCAAAAACATCTTATTTAATATATATACTTGATTTATTAACATTGAACTCATGGCCAACAGCCCTATAACCCACGCCTAAATGAAACCTAATACATGTATTTTTTCCATAAGGCACATTACAGGCTTCTTACAATCAGGAACACTAGATAGCACTTCAACAGTATGCTTGGGGTCATTTTTAACAATGAAATCACCAACAAAAAGCCCCAAAATGTGAAAAACATGGCACCAAATAGACAATGAAAAGGACACTTGTTTATAATATGAGAGCTGAAACACGAGGCATAACGTCATTTTGTTCAATTCCCACCTGGAAACATGCATTCAGGTGATTCAAACTTTTTTTCCACTCTGCAGCATGTCTGAATGACTAGGAAAGCACCATGAGTGTTAATTTGGGTAACAAGTGCATTTTATTTATTTATTTATTTTTAAAGATTTTATTTATTTATTTGACAGAGAGAGACACAGCGAGAGAGGGAACACAAGCAGGGGGAGTGGGAGAGGGAGAAGCAGGCCTCCCGCAGAGCAGGGAGCCCGATGCGGGGCTCGATCCCAGGACCCAGGGATCATGACCTGAGCCGAAGGCAGACGCTTAACGACTGAGCCACCCAGGCGCCCCTACAAGTGCATTTTAATGAGATGTTTTCATAAGTAAAGGAATCCACAAATAATGAAGACTGACTGTATTTAAATGCTAAAACAAGAAGAGAGAAATTATCCAGACACATTTTTGCTTAAATCATATGAGAATTTAGGAGTGGGACAAAAGCTTTCATGGTTGAGCTGTCTTTTCCCAAGTTCTGTAGATACAGAGTGCTGCAGGAAAATTCCTTTGCTAGGAGCAAGAGAAAGTTACCTAGAATTGGGGCATGTTTTCCTACAGCTTTTTAGTGTTACAATATTCAAACCTTGTACTGCTTATTAGCATGCCCAATAGTTGTCAGCTAAAGGTATTTCACTGGAGTAAAACTGCAAGGAGTCAGGGAGAAGTAAATGGAGGATTTTTTTTTTTAAGATTTTAATATATTTCAACTTTGGAACTTTCTTTTTGATCATATTAGAGAAAAGGTGGGCAATTTATGTAGAAAAATAATGAGACTACCACAAAATTTAGAGAGAGAGAGAGCAAAAGACTTAATAGAAATGGTTAAATTATGTTATGTGAAATATGTAGATTTCCCCCTAGTATATTTTTTTGTATTTACCACTGGAATAATTCAGGAAATTTAATAGTACTAGCTATATGATAACACATTTATTTCTTGCCATTTTAGAGAATGACTACTTTTTAAAAATGGTACATCCTCTTATAAATGTTTAGGTAATAAAGTACAATAAAACAACAAATTCCCCCAGAGTCCACCACTGAGAAATAACCAGTTATGATTAACATTTAGTAAACATCATTCTAGATCTCTCTGTATAGGATGATGGATGATGGGTGGATGTATGGTTGGATGAATAAACAGAAAATAATATAAGAATCATTCTGTACATACTATTTATAATACAAAAAGCATACTTAAATCTCATTAAAAGTTAAGAAACTGAAGTAATAACTAATTTCAATGAATGTTTCTTTATCTCAAGAAACACTCATTCTAAAAAGTTCTTATCGAGTTAAGGACAAAAGATGAAAATCATTAAAAGATGAAATAAAAGTTTCATTTGTATTTCAATTTTATTTTTATTTATTATTTTTTAATTTTTAATTCCAATATTTTTAACATACATTGTTTTGTGTTTCAATTTTAGAAATTTTTTTTAAGATTTTATTTATTTATTTGAGAGAGAGAGAATGAGAATTAGAGAGCACGAGAGGGAAGAGGGTCAGAGGGAGAAGCAGACTCCCCGCTGAGCAGGGAGCCAGATGTGGGACTTGATCCTGGGACTCCAGGATCATGACCTGAGCCGAAGGCAGTCGCTTAACCAACTGAGCCAACCAGGCTCCCCTTGTGTTTCAATTTTAAACAGTATAGACCCACTAAAAAAAATAAGGTAATTAGCATTATTATTTTTCTTCCTATGCCACCACCCAAGGTTTATACCTTTATATAGATTTTTTTTTCAATCATGATTTCCCTAGCTCTGTGCTTTTGTTCTGTATTTAAATGAATTTAATGTTGTCTACCAGTTTTTCAGTCTTTTTTTTTTTTAAGATTTTATTTATTTATTTGACAGAGAGAGACACAGCGAGAGAGGGAACACAAGCAGGGGGAGTGGCAGAGCAGGGAGCCCGATGCGGGGCTTGATCCCAGGACCCTGGGATCATGACCCGAGCCGAAGGCAGATGCTTAACGACTGAGCCACTCAGGTGTCCTGTTTTTCAGTCTTTTTATTCCCAAATTTTCTTTTTTGATTTGTCTTTTGGCTGACTGGATTTCTTTCTTCCTTTTTTTTTTTTAAATATTTTTATTTATTTATTTGACAGAGAGAGATACAGCGAGAGAGGGAATACAAGAAGGGGGATTGGGAGAGGGAGAAGCAGGCTTCCTGCAGAGCAGGGAGCCCTACGGGGCTCGATCCCAGGACCCTGGGATCATGACCTGAGCTGAAGGCAGACGCTTAAGGACTGAGCCACCCAGGTGCCTCTGGTTGGCTGGATTTTATCACCAAGTACTTTTTTCAAGAAAAGTTCGTGATTACTCTATTTCCTGAATTCTTTTCATATTTGAGAATTTCTGCCTGTTGCTTTTTTAAGTTAACAGCAATTTGGATGGGCATAATAATCTCTTTTTCTTTTTTTAAGATTTTTAAAATTTGGGTGGCTCAGTCAGTTAAGTGTCTGCCTTCAGCTCAGGTCCTGGGATAGAGCCCTGCTTTGGGCTCCAGCCCTGCATTGGATTCCCTGATCAGTGGGGAGCCTGCTTCTCCCTCTCCCTCTGCCGCTCCCCCTGCTCATGCTCTCTCTCTCTGTCAAGTAAATAAATAGTAAAATCTTAAAAAAAAAAAAAAAAAAAGTAATCTCTACACCCAACAGGAGGCTCAAACTTACAACCCTGAGATCAAGAGTTGCATGCTCTATTGAATGAGCCAGCCAGGCACCCCATGGATGGGCATAATATTCTTTTTTTTTTTTAAGGTTTTATTTATTTACTTGAGAGAGAGAGAGAGAGAGAATGAGCACGTGTGTGTGCCTGTGAGCAGGGGGAGGAGCAGAGGGAGAGAGAGAGAGAATCACAGACTCCCTGCTGATGGAGGAGCCTAACACAGGGCTCTGTCTCACAACCCATGAAATCATGACCTAAGCTGAAATCAGGAGTCCGAGGCTTAACTGACTGAGCCCCCACTCTCCCCCTAGTTCTCACAGTATAGAAAGTAGGTTTTACTATTAGTCGTTTCTATTTTACAGATGAGGAAACTGAAACAGAGAGATTGGGTAGTTTGTCCCTATCACATATTTAGTAAGTGTAAAGCCTGGACTTGAACCCAGGTTTCTCCCATTCTACAGCTTAACCCTATATGCCTTAACCCCCACCTCCAGCCCCACCCCCTGCCCCCACCCTTCAATGGGCATTAAGGAAAAATGAATGTGGGCATTACTTATAAGTACTATTTCAGCAGAAGTGTCCTAGAAGTCTCAGCTTTAAATCATCACAAATGGAATCTCTCTGACGCTTCTAACAGATATACAGCTGCTTGGTGAAAACCATCAACACTCACTTTGGCCAGCTAGGTGCTGGACACCTGTGCATATAAAGAGAAGACCCAAGAAAGAGAAAAGGTGAATCTCATGCCCCTGACTCGGAGCTTGATCTCCTGAGTCTGAGATCATGACCTGAGGTGAAATCAAGAGTTGGTTACTTAACTGACTGAGCCACCTAGGTGCCCTGGGCATAATATTTTCTTTTTTTTAATTGAGATTTATTTATTTATTTATTTATTTATTTATTTATTGAGAGCGCGTGCGCGCACACACACATGCACGTGCTCAAGTGGGGGGCGGCAGAGGGAGAGGAGAGACAGACTCCCTGCTGAGCGTGGAGCCCAACACAGGGCTTGATCTCATGACCCATGAGATCATGACCTGAGCCAAAATCAAGAGTGGGACACTTAACCAACTGAGCTACCCAGACCTCCCCTCCCCCGCCCCCCGGGGCATAATATTCTTAAGTTATCATGGTATTTCTCCCTGCCCCCAATCAAAGTTTATGACATGGTCCTTTTTTTTTTTTTAATGATTTGCCTTTTCTGCTTAGATGGCTAAAGAATTATTCTGTTATTCTTTTTTTTCCAAAAGATTTATTACCATCAACTCATAGAAGATTAGCACCCAGATGTACTTTTAAAAAAAGTTTTTATTTAAATTCCAGTTAGTTAACATACAGGGTAATATTAATTTCAGGTGTACAATATAGATTCCACACTTCCATACATGACCTAGTGCTCATCACTACAAGTGCACTCCTTAATCCCCATTACCTATTTAACCTGTCCCCCCACCCACCTCCCTAGCACCCAGATGTACTTTTTTTCTTTTTAAAGATTTTATTTATTTTGAGAGAGAACGGGGGTGGGGGAGGAGGAGCAGAGGGGGAGGGAGAGGAAAAGGAAAGGGGAAATAATCCCAAGCAGACTCCGAGCTGAGCACAGAGCCTGACTTGGGGCTCAATCTCATGACCCTGAGATCATGACCTGAGTTGAAACCAAGAGTCGGTGGTTAACCAACTGAGCCACTCAGGTGCTCCCAGATGTGCTTTTGAACTGTGAGAATAGGCTCATTGTTTCAAAACCTTAGTTCTCATTGTTTTTATTAATTAGTAATAACTGATCAATTATTTCAGGAAGCAACTATAAAACTATATTCTCTGAAATATGACACTCAAATTAGTAGGAAATGATAATGGCATTTTATTTATTTTTATTCCTTTTTTTTTTAAAGACTTATTTATTTATTTATTTGACAGAGAGAGACACTGAGAGTGGGAACACAAGCAGGGGGAGTGGGAGAGGGAGAAGCAGGCTTCCTGCAGAGGAGGGAGCCCGATGCGGGGCTTGATCCCAGGACCCTGGGATCATGACCTGAGCCGAAGGCAGCCACTTAACTGACTGAGCCACCCAGGCGCCCCTATTTATTTTTATTCTTGATTTGTGTTAAAGTTTGTCATTTTTCATTATAGTTATATACCCTTTCCTTTTAAAGGTTCAGTTTTTCCTTCATTTTGGGGAAATCTTCCTGAATGAAATTTCTCAGTACTTCTAATGCTTCATTTGGTAGTCTTCATCCTTTTTTTTAAGATTTTATTTATTTACTTTATAGAGAGAGGGCACACACACGAGCAGGGGGAGGAGCAGAGGGAGAGGGACAAGCAGACTCCACGATGAGCCCAGAGCTTGACGCAGGGCTTGATCCCATGACCACGATATCATGACCTGAGCCAAAATCAAGAGTCAGGTGCTTAACTGACTGAGCCACCCAGGAGCTCCAGTCTTCATCATTTTATCGGAACTTCTTTGTCCTTCATATTTATCATCTTCTAATATTAAAATATTTTCTTTTGTTCTGTATTCACAGTTGTTTTCTCAAGTCACTCCAAATTGGTGGTTTGATTTTTCTTTTTTCTTTTTTTTTAAAGATTTTATTTATTTATTCATGAGAGACAGAGAGAGAGAGAGAGAGAAGCAGAGGGAGAAGCAGGCTCCCCGCTGAGCAGGGAGCCCAACGCAGGACTTGATCCCAGGACCCTGGGATCACAACCCGAGCCGAAGGCAGACGCCCAACCATCTGAGCCACCCAGGCACCCTGATTTTTCATCATATCTATTTTTCTTGTTTCTAATTTATTAAGTCTGTAATACTCTCATTTCAGGTTCTCACTTTGTTTCCTTAGCAAGGCATCTTATTCTGCCTTTGAGCTCTTTTTTTTTTTAATAGGATCTATATATTTTTTTAAAATTTTTATTTTAAATAGGTTCCACACCAAGTGTGGGGCTTGAACTCATAACTCTGTGATCAAGAGTCACATGCTCTACCAACTAAGCCAGCCAGGTGCCCCAGATCTAACTTTTTAAGTAATTCTATCCTGTGAAGCATGTATGGCAAGTCTGTTTCTGTTTGTGGCTAATGTTTTCTTCTAGAATGAATTCTGAAGTCTCTTTCTCTTCTTTTTCCTGGGATATATTTTAATAGTTGTATTGTTACTTCTTGATATAATGCTCATATATAACATGGGCAACTGTCTTCAAACCAGTTTACTCTGATAATGCAAAAGCTAATTCTCCTTGACACCCTTTCTATCTACCTTAATGTAACTTCCAGCTGAAATTTGAGGACTGTGTTGTGTTCTCGCCACTTCTTTCTAGCCTGAGGTATGAAGGTGGTGGAAGAACAGAGATCTGCTAAGGCTTAGGTACTTGCTTAGGGACCTGGGCTCTGAGCTTTCTCTAAGATCCTATTATTGATCTTGTGTCAGGGCTTACTTAACCCAGCTAAGAATGTGTCTCACTAGTGTGGACTTTGGCTAGTACTGTGCTCTGTTAGATGGCAAGCCATGGTGATTCTGTCTTTACTGATGGTTCTTTAAAGGATTTCTTGTAATGGTTTTTTGTTTGACTTCTCAGTTCTACCTCTTACCTGCTCATTCTGCCTTTCCAAATTATTAGTCATTAGTGATAATTCTCAAGATTTGTTTAATTGACCTTGTTTCCTCAATATTGCTTCTGGGATATAGGGACAGGGCTTGGAGACAGTCCCTTGCTAGCATATATGGTGTCTTTGTGTAAGTTAGAAAATAATCCCTTTCAAGAGGCCAGGTCTTATAGCTTGCCAAGTGGACATAGGTTGACTTTCATCCCCACTTCACCTTAGCTAAGCATCTTTGAGCAGAAACAGTCTACCCAATCATGCTCAAAGTTTTAGGAGATGGACCTCATCCCACTGGAATCTTTTGTTTCTTGCACTGACTATCCTTTTTTAAAGTACATAACATAATTTTATATCTTTTTGTTATTTTTTTAAAAGATTTTACTTACTTATTTGACAGAGAGAGAGACAGCGAGAGAGAGAACACAAGCAGGGGGAGTGGGAGAGGGAGAAGCAGGCTTCCCGCAGAGCAGGGAGCCCAATGTGGGGCTCGATCCCAGGACCCTGGGATCATGACCTGAGCTGAAGGCAGACGCCTAACGACTGAGCCACCCAGGCGCCCCTATCTTTTTGTTATTAAGTCATAAGTATAGAATATTGGGCTATTTTATTTTTCCATTTTGTTGGATAATCATGGTCCTATTTTACCTTGCCATCTTTGTTTAGAAATCCTCACACATGTGTTTTTAAATTAGATATTATGAAACATATTGTTAAAAACAATATTTGATTTAAGGAAAGTATATTCTTTAATAACAATGAGAAAAATAATATTTGGTATTGTAGGAAACAATCACAATTGCCTGATGATGAGTTTTTATTTTTTGATAAATGTGTTCTATCTTTATGGGAACATGTCTTTTCAATATTATTTAAAAGTTGATTAAAACAGTCTCTTGTCAAACTTGCTTTAGGAGTATCCGATTTTAATCTCCGTGTTGCATTGCAAACACTTTTGAAAGAGTACTGTGAGGTGTGCAAATCTCCCAAAGAGAACAAGTTTTGTAGTTTTCTGCAGACATCTAGAGTTCGGCCTCGGAAGAAAGCAAGAAAGTACCTGTATGCAGTAGGTGAGAACCTTTTAAAAAGTGATACAAATAATCTTTATTTTTAGGAGTAAAAGCTTTGAATTCTTTTTGAATATTTTGTTGTTACTGTTTTACACATCAGAATATGCAAGTGTGTCAAATAGGCATATTTAATTTCACATAGAGGCTACAGATTAATTATGTTTAATACAGTGGATACATCTAAGAATAAATAGCTATTTATTTGACATCTGTTATTCTGTGATATAAGTTGTTGGGTTCTTAGATTGTCCAATTAGTGTCAAATAACTGATTTATGAAATATTGCTTCAAAAGTTAAAAATGTGAATTCCAGTGAAAAATAAGGAAAATCTCAACATTTTTAACTATTCATGGTGTCTTAGTTGATTAGGGATTATAGGAACCAGTGGTCTCTAAAGTGTGGGCATACAGGATAATCCACAGAAGTATCAGGTGAACATATTAAAACATCTTTTTTATTTTAAAAAACATTAAGTCTTATTAATATGTGATGTATATATAGACAGATTATCCAAATTTACATACATAATATTTTATATATACTTCATAACATAATTTATAATCTGTATGTAATTATATGTATGATTTCATGTATGCTATTATATGTAAATATGTAATTTTTGAGTGCATGCTACAATTTTTTTACTGATGGGATGTGCAGTTAAACAAGGGTTTCAACTATTTTTTTTTTTAAAAGATTTTATGTATTTATTTATTTGAGAGAGCGACAATGAGAGACGGAGAGAGAGCACATGAGAGGGGGGAGGGTCAGAGGGAGAAGCAGACTCCCTGCCGAGCAGGGTGCCTGATGTGGGACTCGATCCTGGGACTCCAGGATCATGACCTGAGCTGAAGGCAGTCGCTTAACCGACTGAGCCACCCAGGCGCCCCTCAACTATTTTTAATTGAAAAAGATACTAATAGAAGTCATAATGAGACTTCCTAACTAGACAGATAACCAGCTCCTTTTATGTTTTATCTAACATTCTATTATAACCAAAACCAGGTGGTAGAACACTGGTTGACCTCATTGCATTTAAGTCATCATCTTTCAGGACTTGGTGTATTTAAGAATAATATATGTATATGTGGCAGGCTCTAAAGCACTTATTCCTGGCTATGAAATAGTCATTGACTGAATGTCTAGATGTAGAGGGCTAGATTTTTCTCATTACTGTCATGTCCATATTTAGCAGTAAGTGATTTGCTGTGTATCTCCTTTCCTTCATTCAGGTGGATATACTCGGTTACAGGGGGGACGTTGGAGTGATAGCAGAGCCCTCAGCTGTGTAGAACGTTTTGACACCTTTAGCCAGTACTGGACCACTGTGTCTTCACTTCATCAGGCTCGATGCGGGCTGGGAGTAGCAGTTCTGGGAGGAATGGTTTATGCTATTGGAGGTAATAATGAAAATGTCTTCTTTCCCTTTTTAGTCTCTAGCTGTAAGTTGACGGCATTCTTATATGACATATATATTGTTAGGTACTGTGGGGTATACATAGATATGGTTGTGCTCAATAAATATTTAATGAATAAATGAATGAAAAAAGAAAGAGGAAATAAGATAATTGAATGTTTCAATCCAGAGGGATACTGTGATTTATCCCAAGGCAGAATACTTAGGTTTGATTTTGATGAAAAGTTGTCTATAAAATGTGGCACCAAATGTTTGATAAAAATTGTTTTAATTTTGAAATTTAATTTCACATACTGGAAGTTGTATTTAATTAACATAGTTACCTGGACAATGAGATTTATAAAAACTAAGTCATCTAGATATTGGGATATATTTCTTGGTTGAAATCACTGTTTTCTGAAACTATTATTATGAATTGTAAAATGATTAATAAGATTAAATAAAAGGAGTTTTGAATGTTGGAGGGAACTAATTATCAGAGGAGGATCTAAAGAGAAATAAATGTTAACACTTTTATATCAATATTTACTTCTGTATAATTTGTCTTTATAGCAACAAGCCTAGGCAGGTCCTCTCTAACCCTTAGAACTAATCATTATGCCTTATTTCTATGGTTTAGTCTAAAACACAAAAAGTTGTATATAAAAAAAAATTTTTTTAAGATTTATTCATTATTTGAGAGAGCACTAGCGGAGGCGTAGCAGAGGGAGAGGGAGAATCTCAAGCAGACTCAGCGCTGAGCCCAATGTAGGGCTTGATCTCACAACCCTGAGATCACGACCTGAACAACCAGGAGTTGGTCCCTTAACCAACTGCACCACCTGGGCACCTCTTGAAAATGTTATTACTATTTTGGGGCGCCTGGGTGGCTCAGTCGTTAAGCGTCTGCCTTCGGCTCAGGTCATGATCCCAGGGTCCTGGGATCGAGCCCCGCATCGGGCTCCCTGCTCCGTGGGAAGCCTGTTTCTCCCTCTCCCACTCCCCCTGCTTGTGTTCCCTCTCTCGCGGTCTCTGTCAAATAAATAAAAAATCCTTAAAAAAAAAAAAAAAAGAAAAGAAAATGCTATTACTATTTTTTGACTATGATACTGTCAGTTTAAGATGAGAGAGATATAGAGAATATTTCGTTTTTACTTCTCTTTTGGAGGGAACATAATTGTCCCTTAAAAACAGTTCATTAAGAGGCAACTGGGTGGCTCAGTTGGTTAAGCAGCTGACTCTTGATTTTGGCTCAGGTCATGATCTCGGGGTTGTGAGATCGAGCCCCACATTGGGCTCTGCTCAGTGCAGACTCTGTTTGTCCCTGTCCCTCCATCCCTCTCTCTCTCTCAAATAAAATAAATAAAATCTTAAAAAGAAAAAGAACTCAGTTCATTAAATCAATAAATGCCGTGGTGAATCCAGAAATCCCAACAAAGAAATAAGAGTTTTAAGCAGTAACTTTCTGTCAGCATAAAGACCATGATTCTGTATAATCTTTGACTAAAACTCTCATAGCTTTTTTTATATACATTTTGGCAATTATGGATAATTTCATTGCATGAACTCTCCTGTTTAACATAGGGTCACAGTGTCCTGTGTGACACTTTCATATATATGTGTCCCCTTTCCTCATGCCACAGAAATACTTATGGGCACCCTTCAAAAATGCTATGACTTCACTATTACTTATTTATTTACTTTTAAGTAGGCTCCACATCCAATGTGGGGCTTAACCTCATGACCGAGATCAAGGGCCACATGCTCTACTAACTAAGCCAGGCACTTCAACTCGGGCTACTATTATTAATAATATCAACATTGCTATCTTAAGATATTTTATGATATATAATTTTAAGATAATTTTTATTATCAAAGTAATTCAGGTTTGTAGTAGGAATTTTTGCTGAAATTGAAGCATATGAAAAAAATAAAAATCACCCATACTCTAATCATATCACCCAGAGATAATCACAATATTTGGTTTATTTCCTTCTACTACATATTTTTAGGGTCACCTGGGTGGCTCAGATGGTTAAGCATCTGCCTTCGGCTCAGGTCATGATCCCAGGGCCCTGGGATCGAGCCCCACATTGGGTTCCTGACTCAGCAGGGAGCCTGCTTCTCCCTCTCCCTCTGCCTCTCCCCCGTTCATGCTCTCTCTCTCTCTATCTCTCTGTGTCTCAAATGAATAAATAAAATCTTTAAAAAAATAATAAAAATAAATACTATTTTTAAAAATTAAGATATAATTCACATACCATAAAATTCAGTTTGAAGTATATGGTTCAGTGGTTTTTTAGCATATTCACAAAGTTGTACAACCATTACCACTGTTTAATTCCAGAACATTTTTTTTTTTAAAGATTTTATTTATTTATTTGACAGAGGGAGACACAGCAAGAGAGGGAACACAAGCAGGGAAAGTGGGAGAAGGAGAAGCAGGCTTCCTCCTGCCAAGCAGGGAGCCCAATGTGGGGCTTGATCCCAGGACCCTGGGACCATGACCTGAGCCGAAGGCAGACGCCTGACGACTGAGCCACCCAGGTGCCCCAATTCCAGGACATTTTTATCACTACAAAAAGCCACTCTTATTATTTAGGGAAATTTTTATATCAGTGTAGGGAATTGTTTACAAAGTATGTTTCCAGATTCCAGCCAAAGGTCAATCTTGCAAGCAGGCCTTTCTAAGGATAGGCATTCTCACGCCTGCTGCGCTGATTCTTTTCTGCACGGTAGTTTTCTATGTTCAGGATTCCAGGCCCTCATAAAGTTATATGTTATATGTGCTGCAAATGCCTTTTGCTACTCTGCTGCTTCATCTTTCACTTTCATTTTATTTTTTTAAAGATTTTATTTAGTTATTAGACAGAGAGAGACACAGCAAGAGAGGGAACACAAGCAGGAGGAGTGGGCAAGGGAGAAGCAGGCCTCCCGCTGAGCGGGGAGCCCAATGCAGGGCTCGATCCCAGGACCCTGGGATCATGATGACTGAGCCACCCAGGCGCCCCTGTATTTTTCATTTTAATGTAGCTAACTCTATTATTTATTTTCCCTTTATGGTTAGTGTTTCTAGTATCTTTTTAAAGAAATCCTTCCCTACTCCAAAGTCGTGAGGATATATACCTTTATACCTTTATTATTTTCTAAAATTTTAGTTTTAGAACTAACTGTATGTCTGTAATGTATGTCTGCAATCCACCTGGAATTGAGTTTTTAGATAATATGAGTAGGGAACCAGTTTCATCTTTTCCTCATAGATATAACCAATTATCCCAGCATAAAAAGCTTTTGTTTCCCTATTGCTGTGCAGTGCAAACTCTGTCATATATCAGGTAATCATATATGTTGGTCTCTCTTTCTAGAATTTCTTTTCTGTTTTGGTCTCTCTGTGTATCATTATCTTAATCACTATAGGTCTGTTTTAAGTCTGATAAGCTTACCTGATAGGACAGTTTCTCCCCTTACTATTCTTGTGTGGGAGTGCTTGGCTATTCTGGGCCCTATGTACTTCTATATAAATTTTAGAGCCAGTTCATCAAATCTGTTTGTTTTCTTTTGTCAAATCTGTCTTTAAAAATAATGTATGACAATGGAATACTAGTCAGCCATCAAAAAAATGAAATCTTGCCATTTGCAATGACATGGATGGAACCAGAGTGTATTATGCTAAGTGAAGTAAGTCAATCAGAGAAAGACAGTTATCATATGATCTCACACATATGTGGAATTTAGGAAACAAAACAAAGGATCATAGGGGAAGAGAGGAAAAAATAAAACAAGATGAAATCAGAGAGGGAGACAAACCATAAGAGACTCGTAAGCGTAGGAAACAAACTGAGGGCTGCTGAAGGGTAGAGGGGTAGGGGGAAGGGGTAACTGGTGATGGACATTAAGGGGGCACGTGATGTAATGAGCACTGGGTATTATATAAGACTGATGAATCACTGACCTCTACCTCTGAAACCAATAATATATGTTAATTAATTGAATTTAAATTTTAAAAATGTTAGTTGGAAAAAAAGATAAAAATAATGTATGATTCCACTTATGTGAGGTACTTAGAATAGTCAAAATCATAAAAGACAGGAAGTATAATGGTGGTTGTCTGGGGCTGGGGGAGGGGAGAATGGGGAGTTACTGTTTGAATCAGTATAATGTTTCAGTTTTACAAGATGTAGAGAGTTTTGGGGGTGGATAGTGGTGATGGCTACACAAAAATATGAATGTGTTTAACATCACTGAACTCTATACTTAAAAATGGTTAAGATGGTAAATTTTATGTTACTTGTATTTTAACACAATAAAAAAAGTGTGTTTCAAATTGGGATTATGTTAAATCTATAAATCAGTTTGGGGATAATCATCTTTACATTGATTCTTCTAATTCATGAACATGATATATCTCTTCATTTACTTAGATATTCCTTAATTTAAAATTTTATCTAAATGAAGTTTATAAATTTTATCTGCCAGAGGTCTTGTACAATGTTTGATTAGACTTATTTCTAGGTAGAGTCTATTTTAAAATTCTTTTTTAGGGTGCCTGGGTGGCTCAGTTGGTTAAGCGACTGCCTTCGGCTCAGGTCATGATCCTGGAGTGCCAGGATCGAGTCCTGCATCAGGCTCCCTGCTCAGCAGGGAGTCTCCTTCTCCCTCTGACCTCCCCCCTCTCATGTGCTCTCTCTCTCTCATTCTCTCTCTCAAATAAATAAATAAAATAAATTCTTTTTTAAGTGGTACCTTTTTAGAAATTTTTATTTTCTCTTTGTTGCTAGGTAAGGATTGCATTAAAATTCAAATTATACCAGAGCGAGGTATCCAAATTAATACATGAAAAAATATAGAAGTGTTAAAGTACAAATTTTATCCCCCAAAATTACATGGATTATTTGGGTGGTAGAATTAGAAATAGATAATAGGAAAATTATGCCATGTTTCATTAAGTGGGCTTTAATAAATGACAGTGCTGTTGATTTATAATAACACTTATGGGACAAACTAATCTTAATGAATAGTATAAAATCAGACATAATAGTTGAATTTCTGATAATACAGAATGCTACTGAATATTGTATTATGGTTCTAGGCTATTAGCATCACTAAACCTTCTGATATGTGTCTCTTTTATTTAACTCAGGTGAAAAGGATTCGATGATTTTTGACTGTACTGAATGCTATGATCCAGTTACTAAACAGTGGACAACTGTAGCTTCAATGAATCACCCCCGCTGTGGCTTGGGAGTGTGTGTGTGTTATGGGGCTATCTATGCTTTGGGTAATTATGCTTTTTGGTTTAAGGATATCTAGTATTACTTAAATTCTTAGATTCTAATTACTTTAGACATTTCCCTTCTCTCCCATAAGAAACTTATATTTTTTCAGCTTTATAAATTTTTATTTTCAAAATTGAATTATTTGGGGAATATTGTCAAGTATGGAGTTCTTAGAAAGAGATGGAGATAAAATGTAGATAAGATGTCCAGTGAAGTACTTTAGCTAACTAGTTAAATCTCATGATTAGGATAGCCATTCTGAATATGCAGAAGTTGTTTCAAAAGGTAGTTTTGCAAAATACCTTTATTTCCTAAGCAATATGATGAGCTTTTGTTTTTATTTTGTTTTGTTTTTTTAAATCTCTGATGAAAACTAGGCAGAGTTAAGATCCAAGTTTTATAGTCAGATTCTTTTTTGTATGATCTTGGACAAATAACCCTTTGGTCCATGTGATAATCATTCACAATATAAAGTTGCCAGATTAGATGTTTTCTAAGGTATTTTTCATAGATAAGACTCCTTTATCCAGAACTGACATTTTTCTATTTGGTTACAGGTGGATGGGTTGGAGCTGAGATAGGGAACACCATTGAACGATTTGATCCTGATGAAAATAAGTGGGAAGTAGTTGGCAACATGGCTATGTCACGCTACTACTTTGGGTGTTGCGAAATGCAAGGTAATTGCTTTCTAAAAACTTTTTCCTGAAAATGTATTTTATTTTATTTTATTTGTTTATCTTTTGGGGGAGGGACAGAGGGAGAGAAGAGAATCCTAAGCAGGCTCCATGCCCAGCATGGAGCCCAACATAGGGCTCAATCTCACAACCCTGAGATCATGACCTGAGCTGAAATCAAGAGTCAGATGCTTAACTGACTGAGTCACCCAGGTGCCCCCCGCTTTTTCCCCTAAAAATATATTTTTTAAAAAAACTAAGCTTGGGGGCACCTGGGTGGCTCAGTTCGTTAAGCGACTGCCTTCAGCTCAGGTCACGATCCTGGAGTCCCGGGATCGAGTCCCACATCGGGCTCCCTGCTCCGCAGGGAGTCTGCTTCTCCCTCTGACCCTTACCCCTCTCATGCTCTCTCTCTCAAATAAATAAATAAAATCTTTAAAAAAAAAACCAAACTTGAAGCTTTATTTTCACAAAACTATATTTTATGTCTGTTAGTATTGAATGCTTGACACTAACAATATGGAAGTATTGCTTTTAACATTTTATATGTTTTAACCTCATATTCTTATTTCTGTATTGCCAAAATAATCATTTTTTTTCCAAAATAAACAAAGCTAGAATTAAAAATTACAGATAGGCACAAATACCTGACTGGCAAAATAAGCATTTGAAACTTCATCCATCTTTGTCACTTTCTCTCCCATACAACCCTTAGTAAGTATTTCTAAGTAGGAAGAAGATATAAAAAACAATCTTCACTGTCTCTTCTGATTGAGTCCACACAGAATATAATGCTATGACAGATTTGAAAAATGTTGTACTACATATTAAAATGGTGTACAAACATTATTTTAATTGTCTACTATATCCTGAGAAGTAGTTGGTAAGCACTGTCAAGTAGAACCTGATTCTTGGTCCAGAATTGGAGAGCAGATTTATATGTACCTGTAGAGTAGTGAGCAGTGTGCTCATTGTTATAACAACTCAACCTGCTATTCCCAGCTCAAGTTCTTTCTGCTTTGTGAATACCTTCTCAGATTTCCATTAGCATTTTAATGTTCAAATTACATGGTACAGACTGTATTCTATTGTGTAATACTATAGTGTTCTCTAATTGTTTTATATCTATTATTTTTATCTTCTCATATAAATTAGGTGTTCTGAGACTTAGTTTTCAACATGGGGTGAGGGGCAGTTTCCCTCCTACTAACAAGAAGAGGTTCTCAGAACACCAGCTGGGTGTTGGAGAATTCAACTCTAACACTATGTACCTATACCTGAAGATAGCATCAAATTCCACAGGTTGAAGCTCAGTCCTACAAGACACTCATCCTCCCCAGGCTATTTCCTGTGCTTCTGATAGACTGGCTATAGATCAGAAGTTCTAACGGTCCCTCCTCTTCAGGTTCAATTAATTTGCTAGGGTGACTCACAGAACTCAGAGAAAATGTTACTACTAAAATGATATAATGCAGGAACAGCTAGATGGAAGAGATGCAAAGTCGTTATGAGGAAGGCGCACAGAGTTTTCATGCCCTCTCCAGATACTCCACTGTCCCCACATTTCCACGTATTCACCACCCCAGAAGCTCTCCAAACCCTTTCTTTTGGATTTTTATGGAGGCTTCACTATACATTGGCATGAGTGGTTAAATCATTGGTCATTGGTGATTGATTCAACCTCTATACGTTCTCCTCTCCCCAGAGGTCAGGGGCTGAGACTGAAAGTTCCCACACTCAAATCATAGCTTTGGCTCCTTTGGCAACCACACCCCATCCTTAAGTGCTTTCCCAAAGTTACCTCGTTAGCATAAAAAAAGACAACCCTGATCATTCCTAACACTTCAGAAATTCCAAGGGTTTGGGTTGCTGTGAGCAAGGAATTGTGGATGAAGACCATATATAGATGAGAAATATATATATATATTATAATTTTATTTTTTAAGACTTTATTTATTTGAGGGGTGGGGAGAGAGAACATGAGCAGGGGGAGGGGCAGAGGGAGAGGGAGAAGCAAACTCCCGCTGAGCAGGGAGCCCCACACAGGGCTGGATCCCATGACCTGAGCCAAAGGCAGACACGTAACCAACTGAGCCACCCAGGTGCCCCCCAATTATGTATTTCTTATAAATCACAGTATTGTATCTTCTAAAATCATAGAGCTAGAGAGGCATCTTGGAGATTATCTATTTCAACCCCTTTATTTATAGATGAGCAAGCTGAAGATCAGGAAGGTTGTAAATTGTCTTTTCCCATAGCTGGTTACTGGCAAAGCTGAATCTAGAACCCAAGTTCACTGACATTTAGCTCACATTTCTTAAAATGCCATTCTTTATAACTTATAGCTCCTCATTGTAGATTGTCAGAACCATTAGTTTCAAATCAAATTTAATAAGAAACTCACTGTGAATTATATTCTATTGTAATCTAGTAATTGATCCTGAATACCTTAATCTAGCCATATAACTATTCTAATTTGAATTCAATTCTCTATATCCATTTGAGCAACAGGAAGGCTGTCACCAAACAAGGCCATATCATTCCCAGTTTAAGTGCATGGCATTTTTTTAGGGGGGAAAAAAAATCACTGTCCCTTTCCTTTTTTACCTCATGGTAGCAGTGGTTCTGGAACTTGAGATCATCAAGCAGATAATAAGATGGAAAACCTTGTCTGACTGTTTTGTTATAGCATTATAAGTTCTTTGAAAAATAAATGTCACTTAATTTTTTTTGAAGATGTATTTATTTATTTTAGAGAGAGAGCACGTGCATGGGGATGGGGGAAGGGCAGAAGGAGAGGGAGAGAATCTTAAGCAGACTCCATGCTTAGTGTGGAGCACAACGACACAGGACCCTGAGATCATGACCTGAGCCAAAATCAAGAGTCGGATGCTTAACCGACTGAACTACCGGGCACCCTTTAAATGCCACTTTAAATTATACCTCTAATTCTTGTAACATGCTTAAATGTGAGCTATGTTATACTAGACAGAAGTCAATTTCTCTCTTAAAGGATAATGTGATCCTTACATTAAAATATGGCATCAGCATAGCAGACATAAATCACAACTATTACTTTTTATAATTATTTATATTCTATTTTCTGTAGCATCTGAACAAAAATATTCTGTTTCCAGGTTTAATTTATGTAATTGGGGGCATCAGCAATGAAGGAATAGAGCTTCGTTCTTTTGAAGTATATGATCCACTTTCTAAGCGTTGGTCTCCACTTCCTCCAATGGGAACCAGGAGAGCATATCTTGGTGTGGCTGCACTCAATGACTGTATCTATTCTGTTGGAGGGTGGAATGAGACACAAGATGCTCTTCATACTGTAGAAAAATACTCCTTCGAAGAGGTAGGTTGGATGATTTCAAATGCTTAATATGCTGTTATTCTTTTAATGTCTATAAGATCTATAGTGATGTGCATTCTTTTATTCATGATATTAATCATTTGTAAGGTTTTTTTTGCTTTTCAGAACACCAACTTTGGTGTCATAGGTTTTTTTCTATTGATTGCCCATCTTCTGTTTCACTGATTTCTGTTTCTATCTTTTTTCTTATTTCTATTTGTTTTTGGTTTAATTTGCACTTTTTTCTAAATTCTTAAAGTAGAAGCTTAAATGATTTTATTTATTTATTTATTTATTTATTTATTTAAGATTTTATTTATTTGACAGAGAGAGACGCAGCAAGAGAGGGAACACAAGCAGGGGGAGTGGGAGAGGGAGAAGCAGGCTTCCTGCTGAGCAGGGGGCCCAATGCGGGAATATGACCTGAGCCGAAGGCAGATGCTTAAAGACTGAGCCACCCAGGCACCCCTTAAATGATTGATTTTAGACCTTTCTTTTTTTATAATGTAAATGTTTAAAACTATAAATTATTTTCAAGCACTGTTTTAAGTGCATCCCCCACATTTTGATATGTTGTATTTTATTTATTTATTTGGTTATATTTTAATTAGCATTTATCTTGAAATATCTTCTAATTTCCCTGGTAATTTCTTTTTTGAGCAGTGAGTTGTTAGAAGTATGTTATTTATTTTCCAAATATTTGGGGATTTTCCAGATCTTTGTATTACTTATTTCTAATTCAACTCCATTGTGATCAGAGAGCATACTTTGTATGATTTCTGTCTTGGTAAATGGTTCCATGTCTGCCTAAAGGGAATTTGTATTCTGCTGTTGTTGAGTGTAGTAGTCTATAAATGTCAGTTAGACAAATTGGTTAGTGTTGTTCAAGTCTTCCCTAGTCTTTTTAACTTGTGCAATTGTTTTGTCAATTATTAAGAAAGAAGGGTTGAAATCTTCAAATGTAATTACAGATTTGTCTGTTTCTCCTTTCATTTTTGTCAGGTTTTACCTCAGAAATGTAGGAGCCAAGGGCAGGCTGCCCCAACATGTGCCACTTTGGCATCTTGATTATTTTATTATTTTATTAAAGATCTATTTATTTGAGAGAAAGAACTTGAGCAGGGGGAGGGACAGTGGGAGAGGGAGAGAAACAGACTCCCCTCTGAGCCAGGAGCCCGCCACAGTGCTCAATCACAGGAAACTGAGATCATGACCCAAGCTGAAACCAAGAGTCAGATGCTTAACTGACTGAGCCACCCATGCCCCCCTGGCATATTGATTATTTTAAATAAAAGTTACTTAAGAGACAGGCTATGCAAGAAGGACTTTCTGACCCTCCTCTGTCCCCCTAAAAGCAGGAAATAAATCTCTTATTTGAAAGGTACCTTCCTTGTACCAGGAGGTTTAAAAAGGCATCTGTATCACCCAGTTGGGAAATTTAGAGCGAAGAAGAATGTATAAACAACCCTTGTTACTTTTTTACTAATTTATTATCAGAGCCCAAATTCCCTTTAGAACTTCTTACTAATTAAAGCTCCTAAAGTTAATTTTACTTTTAATTTTACTTTGTCCTGTCAATTCCCCACAGATTTATTGTCTCTGTATAAAAACTGCCTTGGCCACTTCTTTAGATCTCAATTACATTATTGGGCCTCTTGTGCAAGTAATAAAACTTTTTTTTCTCTTGTTAATCTGTCTGATGTAAATTTAATTCTTAGTCGAGCTGGAAGAATTTACCCTAAGAGTAAAGGAAGAATTTTTCCTTCCCTGCGCATATTTTGAATCTCTGTTATTAAGTGTGTACAGGTTAAGATTATTGTCTTCTTGATGAATTTGATCCTTTTCACAGTCATGGAATATTTGTCTTTATCTTTGGTAATATTCTTTGTTCCTAAGTCTACTTTGTCTGATATTAATGTAACCACTGATGTAGCCAAGCTATCTTTTGATTATTATGTGCCTGATACATCTTTTTCTTTCCTTCCACTTTAAATCTATCTACATCTTTATAAGCTGCATCTCTTGTAAGATAACACACAGTTGTAGTCTCTTTTTTTGTCCAGTTTGACAATCTCCAACTTTCAAATGGAGTCTTTAGAGTTTTTACTATTTATATGTAATGTAGTTACAGAAATGGTCGGTTTTTAGACTCCTGTTTTGCAGTTTTTCTATTTGTACAATTCATTCTTTGATCATTTTTTTCCCTCTTTTCTGTCTTTATGTTGATTGTTTTAGTATTCCATTTTATCTCTTTTATTATCCAATTAACTATAACACTTCACTTTTTAGTGGTTACTGTAGGGTTTACATTATGTATTATATTTATACTATACATATTACTGTATCAAGGTGACCTTCGAATAGTATCATATTACTTCACGTTCTTGTTCTTTTTTTTTTAATTTCAAACCATTTTTATTTATTTATTTTTAGCTTTCTCTCTTTTTTTAAAGATTATTTATTTATTTATTAGAGAGAGTGAGAGAGAGAGTACAAGCAGGGGGAGTGGCAGAGGGAGAAGCAGGCTCCCCACTGAGTAGGAAGCCTGATGCAGCGCTTGATCCCAGGACCTGGGATCATGGCCTGAGCCGAAGGCAGACGCTCAACTGACTGAGCCACCCAGGGACCCCAACAATCAGTTATATTTAAAATAAGATTTTTTTTAAAGATTTTATTTATTTATTTGACAGAGAGAGGGAACACAAGCAGGGGGAATGGGAGAGGGAGAAGCAAGCTTCCCGCCGAGCAGGGAGCCCGATGTGGGACTCGATCCCAGGACCCTGGGATCATGACCCGAGCCGAAGGCAGACGCTTAATGACTGAGCCACCCAGGCGCCCCTCAAAAAATTTTTTTTTAATTTTATTATTATTTTTTAAAGATTTTATTTATTTATTTGACAGAGACAGACACGCAGCGAGAGAGGGAACACAAGCAGGGGGAGAGGGAGAAGCAGGCTTCCCGCGGAGCAGGGAGCCCAATGCAGGGCTCGATCCCAGGACTCTGGGATCATGACCTGAGCCGAAGGCAGACGCTCAATGACTGAGCCACCCAACTGCCCCTAAAATAAAATTTTAATGTTAAAGTCTTTCTAATTATGCCTATATTAATCATTCCTAATTCCTAGTTCTTTTTTTTTTAAGATTTTATTTTTATTTATTTATTTGTTAGAGAGAGAGAGCAAAAGAGTGCACAAGCAGGGCGAGCAGCAAACAGAGGGAGAAGCAGGCTCCCCGCTAAGCAGGGAGCCCGATGCAGGACTCAAACCCAGAACCCCGGGAGCTGAAGGCAGATGCTTAACTGACTGAGCCACCCAGGCGTCCGGATCATTCCCACTTCTATTCTTTTGTGTAGAACTAAGTTTCTGTCTCATAACATTTTCTCTTAGCATGAAGAACTTCCTTTAGTATTTTTTTTAGTGCTGGTCTGCTGGCATTTATTCTCTTAGTGTTCATTTTCTTTCTTTCCTTTTTTTTTTAAATATTTACTTGTCAGAGAGAAAGAGACAGAGAACACAAGCAGGGGGAGCAGCAGAGGGAGAAGCAGACTCCCCGCTGAGCAGGGAGCCTGATGCAGGACTCGATCCCAGGCCCCTGGGATCATGACCTGAGCTGAAGGCAGACGCTTAACTGACTGAGCCACCCAGGCATTCCTTATTGCACTATTTCTGATAGGAAGTCAGTAGTCATTCTTATCCTTTGTTCCCTTGTATGTAATGTGTCTTTTTTTCCTTTGGAGGCTTTTACAATTTTCTCTTTATTATGGGTTTCCAGTAATTTGATTATGGTGTGTCTTTTTGGAGTTTTGTGTTTAACCTGTTTAGAATTCATTGAACTCCTTGAATCTGTGGAATTAGAGCTTCCATCAGAGTAAATGTTTTCAGCCTTATTTCCTCAGATATTCTCCTGCTCTTTTTCTGAGACTCCAATAACATGTATGTAAGACCACTTTAATATTGTCCCCCAGGTCACTGAGGCTCTGTTAATTTTTTTTTCCCCATCTTTTTTCTCTCTGTGCTTCAGTTCATTTTTGTTTTACAGCTTCATTGAGGTATACTTAATAAAAATTGTGTAGATTTAAGGTGTATAATGTGATGTTTTGATATATATTATGAAATAATTACCAAATCAAGCTAATTAACATATTCATCACCTTATAGTTTCCTTTTCCTTTTTTTCCCATTTAACTTAAGTCTTTATTATTCATTCTAATTTAAAAAAAAATTCCAGTGTAGTTAAACATACAGTATAATATTAGTTTCAGATTCTCTTTTCCTTTTTTCGTGTGTGGTGAGCATTGCTTTCTTACCAAATTTCAGGTATACGATATAGTATTATGAATTATAGTTTCCATGTTGTATATTAGATCTCTAGAACTTATTCATCTTGCCTAAGTGAAATTCTGTTCTCTGTGCTTCAGTTTGGATGATTTCTCTTGCTGTGTTTTCAAGTTCATTAATCTACATTGTCACACTTCTAGTTTGCAGTGTCTAATTACATTTAGGGAATTTTTCGCTTCAGATATTATATTTTTTAGCTCTAAAAGATCTTTTTGGTTGTTGTTTTTAATATCTTCCATTTCGCTCCTCATGTTCATGTTTTCCTTTAGATCCTTGAACATATTTATAATATCTGTTTTTAAGTCCTTGTCTGCTGATTTCATTATCACCATCACTTTTGGACCTGTATCTGTTGAACTTTTTCTTCCTGTTTGAGTCACCTTCTTCCTGCTTTTCCACATTTCTAGTAACTTCTGATTGGATGGTGGATACTGTGACTGTTACTTTGCTGAGTGTTTGGATTTTATTTTCTTCTTTTAGGAAGTATTGAGTTTACTTTTGGTAAGCAGCTAAATTATTTGCAAATCAGACTGATTCTTTTGAGACATATTCTTAAGCTTTGTAAGGAAGAGTAGTCGAGAGTAGTCTTTCCTTTAGGTTTCCTACTAAATAAAGAATGACCCTTCTTGAGTCTCTACTGAATGTCCTAGCTGTTCAGCAAGGTGTCTTTATTTTGGCTAGTCAAAACTAGAATGTCATCCAGCTCTGTGTGAGCTCTGGGTATTGTTCAGCTTACAACTCCTAAAATGGAAAACAGTTTCTCTAGTCACAATACTTTTGACACCAAATGTGTGGGTTTTCCATACTGAGCTGTTTTCCAGTTCTCTCTGGTCACCAACTAGGTACCCTCAAGTCAATTCATTTCTGACCCTAACAACCCCACAAGTTAAGAGCTCAGTTTCTCTCTTTTTTTAAAAAATAATTTATTTATTTGACAGAGAGAGAGAGAGACAGTGAGAGAGGGAACCCAAGCAGGGGGAGTGGAAGAGGGAGAAGCAGACTCCCGGCTGAACAGGGAGCCTGATGCGGGGCTCGATCCCAGGACTCTGGGATCATGACCTGAGCTGAAGGCAGACGCTTAATGACTGAGCCACCCAGGCACCCCAAGAGTTCAGTTTAAAAAGATTGCCCCTCACTTTACATGCCACTACAAGTAGTGGGTCCTCAGGTTAACCACTGACTTATTTACACTTGTCTGACTTGGCTACAAATTGGGGGTTCCCATAATCCTTTCCTCAGATTCAATAATTTGCTCTAATGGCTTACAGAACTCAGGGAAACACTGTATGTACTATTAGTGGTCTATTATAAAGGATACAAATGGATAACCAGATAAAGAAGTATATAGAGCAAGGTCCAGAAGGGTCTTGAATGTAGGAGTCTATGTAGAATTTGGGTTGTAACACTCTCTTGACACATGGATGTGTTCACGAACTTGGAAGCTCTCTGAACACCATAGTATAGAGATTTTATGGAGGCTTCATCATGTAGGCATAATTGATTATTAATTCAACCCCCAACCCTTCTCCCCTCCCCAAATGATAGGGGGTGGGGCTAAAAGTTCCAAGCTTCTAATTCTGGCTTGGTCTTTCTGGTAACCAGCCCCCATTTCTGAAGCTATTTAAGGAGTCCACCAAGAGTTGCCTCATTTGAACAAAAGACACTTCCATCATCCAGGGAATTCCCAGGGATTTAGGAGTTCTGAGTCAGGAACTGGGCCCAGAGGCCAAATGTATACTTCTTGTTATATCATATCCTCCTATGAGTTGTTCTTTGCCTGTTTCTCATGGAGTTTTACTTTATGCATTGCACAGATTAGTGGCATTCAGCTAAAGACACAAGGGGACCTCTGGCAGTCTTGCTTGCAAATCTTGGCTGCTTCAACTTCTCTAAACTCTGATCTCTGCCTCCTAAATCAGATTACCATCATGCTGTGCTTGGGAATTCCCTTCTCTGTGGTGTTCAGAAAGCCCCACCAGACAGAAAGCCTAGACAACCATGAAGCTTACCTTCTTTGTTTCTATTTCTGAGTGATCACAGTTTTTCATTGTCTGTTGTCTGGGAACTTTTGTTTCTTAGGTTTTGTCTACTTTTCTAGGTCTTTATGGCAAAAGGACAGCTTTGGTGACAATTATTCTATTGTAGCTGTAAGTGGAAATCCTTCCTATGTCATTTTGACATGTTACCATCATTCATTGAGCATGTCTTTACTTTCTAGCATAATAAAATATTTCAAGCTCATTTTGTACTTTCTCTGCTCTAGCCCTGAAATCAGCCATTTCTCTAAGAAGCTCCAGTTCCTCTTAGTGAAGGATAGTATTTAGAAACCAAGGTCTAGGCACTCAGACTACCCATGGCTACTGGAATATTGCTGCTTCTAGGCACTCTCAGTAAACAGAGCTAGGAATACATGTACCTATATACATGTATGTATTCACACACATATTCATTTGTAAGTATTTCTTAACATGTAAGTCTTATATGTTATAAAACCACGAGTTTATAATGGTAACTCAAATTCCAGTGCAGTATCTCAGATTCTTTCAGGCCTTCCCCATTTCCATGTTTGTAAATACTTTCTCCATTAGTTAAAAACTTGGCTCCTGGTATTCTCCCTATAGCTCACCCTTGAACAACATGGTTTTAAACTGTGTGGGTCCACTTATACATGGATTTTTTTCAATAAATACAATATAGTACTGTAAATGTATCTTCTCTTCCTTATGATTTTCTTAATAACATTTTCTTTTCTGTAGCTTACTTTATTGTAAGAATATAGTACATAATACATACACAAAATATGTGTTAATTGACTATGTTATTGGTAAGGCTTTTGGTCAACAATGGGCTATCAATGGGGTGCCTGGGTGACTCATTCAGGTACGCGTCCAACTCTTGACTTTGGTTCAGGTCATGATCTCCCGGTTGTGAGATTGAGCTCCACACCTAGTGTGGAGCCTGCTTAAGATTCTCTCTCTCCCTCTGCCCTTCTCTCCCTTCCTCCCTGTCTCTAAAAAAAAAAGCAAACAAAACAATCCCAGTAGGCTATTAGTAGTCAGGTTTTTGGGGAGTCAAAAGTTTTACATGGATTTTCTTTTTTTTGTTTATTTTTATTTAAATTCAATTAACATACAATGTATTATTGGTTTCAGAGGTAGAGGTCAGTGATTCAGCAGTCTTATATAATACCCAGTGCTCATTATATCACATGCCCTCCTTAATGTCCATCACCCAGTTACCCAACCCTGTACCCATCTCCCGTCCAGCAACCCTCAGTTTGTTTCCTATGCTTAAGAGTCTCTTATGGTTAGTCTCCCTCTCTAATTTCATCTTGTACCACATCTTCTTCTTCTTCTTTTTTTTTAAGATTAAACCAGCTATTTTTGTGACTATCTCTGTCTTTTAAAATATGAGTATTTGGGGAGCACCCGGGTGGCTCAGTTAAGTGTCTGACTCTTGATTTCAGCTCAGGTCATGAGATCTAGCCCTGTGTTGGGCAGCGTGCTGGGTGTGGAGCCTGCTTGGGATTCTCTCTCTCCCTCTGTCCCTCCCCCTGCTCGTGTGCTCTCTCTCTCTCCAAATAAATAAGAGTTTTTTCAGCTATGCCAACTTGTTACAGATTCTGTAATTTCAGATTTCCTTTAAGAAATGTCTGTTCATGTCTTGTACCCATTTTTTAATTGGGTGATGATAAATGATTATTTTGGTATTGAGTTGTAACAGTCAGTACTTTATATATTTTGGATACCAACCCTTTTATCAGATATGTCATTTGCAAATATCTTCTCCCAGTCAGTAGGTTATCTTTTAGTTTTGTTGATTGTTTTCTTTGCTGTGCAGAAAGAAGCTTTTTATTTTGATGTAATCCCAATAGTTTATTTTTGCTTTTATTTTTTTCTTGCCTCAAGAGACATATCTAGAAAAATGTTGCTACAGCCAATGTCAGAGAAATTGCTGCCTGTACTCTCTTCTAGGATTTTTATGGTATCAGGTCTCACATTCAGATCCTTATCCATTTTTAGCTTATTTTTGTATATGGTGTAAGGGAGTGGTCCAGTTTCATTCTTTTGCATGTAGCTGTCCAGTTTTCCCAACACCGTTTGTTGAAATATTGTTTTATAAAGTAACCTTTTAACCTGGAAAGATCATTCTTACAAAAATACGTTTCCAACCCTTGGTCTATACTACCTTTCTGAAAATATGTTTCGCAAATTATTGACTCCACTGGATGGTCTTTGAAAAAAAGGATTCCATGGTCAATAACTTGGCAAGTGTGATAGCAATATCATTCTCTTGGAGATTTATAAGGGTCATTAGCATATTAAAGCCTTTTAAAAGCCCTTCTGTGTATAAGCTTTTTTCTCCTTGGAGCTTTGTGGGTTTGTGTTGTATGTGTGTATGCATTACCTACATGTATTCCATAGAACAGTTTCACAGAATGCCTTTCTGTATAGGTTTAGATTATCTCCTGATCATGATTTATAGTTAATTACAGACATGTTTCTCAATTGTTTTCCTCTAAATTCGCTACTTTGTCTGTACCTGCTCAAACATTCCCTTGAAAATGGCTATATATATTTATATGACTGAACTCTCAGTTTGAAATTTAAATATATAAAAAGAACTAGAGTATTTGATTTCTCAGCAGTTTTCTCTATTGTCATTTTATGATTCTGCTTTTTTTTTCCCCCCTCTTAACCAGGAAAAGTGGGTTGAAGTTGCCTCAATGAAAGTGCCTAGAGCAGGCATGTGTGTTGTGGCAGTCAATGGACTTCTGTATGTTTCTGGAGGTCGATCTTCCAGCCATGATTTCTTGGCTCCAGGTACCTTGGACTCAGTTGAAGTTTATAACCCTCATTCAGATACATGGACAGAAATTGGTAACATGATCACCAGTCGTTGTGAAGGAGGTGTTGCTGTACTATGAAATATAAAGCATAAGGGAGCACAAGAAACATTTTTGAAAATATAGGATCTGACTCTTTGCAAATCACACATGTCTTTGGTGATAGGATCCTCTGATTCTATTGACTTTTCCATGTATTTGGTAGATAAATGACTAAAGAATGATTTTTCTAAGAATTTGTGTAGGGAGAGATATGGAATATATCCTAAATTAATAAAGAACTCACACAGATTTGCCAAGCTTACCAATAGGAATGCTGTTTATGCTCTAGAATTCTCCTCTTAGGGGTAGAGTCCTATTTGTAAAAATGATTTGCTAGAAGCTTCTTGGCAAATAGCCCCATTAGCTGCTTCTCCAGTGTCAGCCAAGCTGTAACATGACCCTTATGTGATGTAAGAATATCAATGAGACAGTTTAAAGATGTCTGTACATTCATGATTCAATCTGTGGCACAATTTTTCATGGCCACGGTTGAACCTACAGAGAAAGCCAGTGAAACAACTCCCTACTTTTATTTGTTGCCAGGAGTTTTCACTAGCCCCAAACTTTTTATTGGCAGCAGATACACTGGGAGGGACATGTGGGAAATATCTAGCTGTCTCTATAGATGTTTATATAGATAGATAAGTTTTTGCCTGTTAATAACAGGATTAAAAAAGCTTTTGCTCTCTTATGTTTTTTTGTCTAAATGCTGAAAATGCAAGTGAGGAATTACTGGAGGTTCTTAGTGACAGTCCTTTAGTGCAATTGGATGATACAATGGATGACAGAGCCCAGTGAGAGATAGGTACCTCTTAAGTTTCTTTCCTATTTTCTAAATAGTTATCAAAAATATCTGCTTGGCTTTGGGAAGAGGGAATTTTATTAGACTATCAAGCTTTGTGAAGCTTACTTGTACGTGGGCAATCCTAAGTATGAACTTAGTACAAAGCCTACTGTCTGGTTTGGAGAAGGTGGAATTGTAGGTACCTATGAAGCTTTTTATAGACATTGACAAAAGCGTTAAGGTGAAAGGCCTCTGATCCAAAACTGTGTCTCAAAACTTTTCATTTTTCCCAAGAAACATTTTTTTTTAAAGATTTTATTTATTTATTTGACAGAGAGAGACAGAGAGAGAGGGAACCCAAGCAAGGGGAGTGGGAGAGGAAGAGGGAGAAGCACACTTCCCACGGAGCAGGGAGCCCGATGTGGGGCTCGATCCCAGGACCCCAGAATCATGACCCGAGCTGAAGGCAGATGCTCAATGACTGAGCCACCCAGGTACTCCCCCCCGCACCCCGAGGAACATTCTAAAGAATTGTTCTCTGTCTGGTTCTGAGAGGAACATTCTTTGTGTACGTGATCATCACTTTTAGTTATTTCTACCAGTCGCTTGGAGCCATACATATATTAAAGGTCTTACATACATTTAGGTTTATCTAATGATTCCAGGATTTGATTTGTATATTCCTAATTTCCCCTTTTCCTTTTTTTTTTTTGACTTTATTTTTAAACAATCTCTACACCCAGTGTAGGGCTTGAACTCAACCCTGAGATCAAGAGCCAGCAAGGCACCTGATTTCTCCCTTTCTTTAAGTCCTTCAGTGTATTATTACAGTGTATCAGCAGCTTATTTAGATAGAAAATCTCCGTTGGGGGTGCCTGGTTGGCTCAGCTGGTTAAGCCACTGCCTTCGGCTCAGGTCATGATCCTGGAGTCCCGGGATCGAGTCCCACATCGGGTTCCCTGCTTAGCAGGGAGCCTGCTTCTCCCTCTGTCCCTCCCCCCTCTTGTGCTCAATCTCTCTCTCTCTCATTCTCTCTCTCAAATAAATAAATAAAATCTTAAAATAAAAAATCTTTGTTGGTAAGCATTAAAGACTCAGGTAGCCCTCATATCTAAAACATTTGGATTGGCCCACAAGGATACTTTGTTTCATAACTTAACCATATGCATGTATTAAGAAAAGCTTATATAGTATAGATAGAAAGCTCTGTGTCTTCTTTGGGGTCTCCTAAAAGTCTAAAGGGTCATAGGTGCCTGGTGAGATTTATAATATGTCAAGGAATGACATAATTTGTAGATTATTTAAACTCCATGTGCCTTTAGTATTTCTCTACAGAGAATCTGCATTCTGGTTCAAAAGAGATTTACAAAATACTCCTATAATTTAATTCTCATTATTGCCTGGTGCCAACCTGAAATGGCACATGAAGGGAGGCATTTTGTACTGCTGTGGCAGAAACATGTCAAGACAATCTGTGTTTGGGCTTAATGGATCCAGACAATCCCTGTAAATAGATAATTATAAAAATGCATATTATTATATTATCTTCTAGGTAATGACATGGTCTTAAAAATAATGTACTAATAAAGTATGTTGATTTTTGCTTTTTCTTGTATTAGTCATTAACTTAGTTTATTAGCAGTGTTCCTAGATTACCCAACTGTAATAGGATTGCCCAAGTTTTTTTACTGTTTTGTTTTTCCTTTAGGGACCTGCACATTTAGTTCTTACATTTATTTTTTTTTTTTTAAAGCTTTTTTTTTTTTTTTTTTTTTTGAGCGAGAATGAGAGACGGAGAGAGAACACATGAGAGGGGGGAGGGTCAGAGGGAGAAGCAGACTCCCTGCCGAGCAGGGAACCCGATGCGGGACTCGATCCCGGGACTCCAGGATCATGACCTGAGCCGAAGGCAGTCGCTTAACCAACTGAGCCACCCAGGCGCCCTAGTTCTTACATTTAAATCTGTTTCCTGAGCAGCTATTAATGTGATCTTCCTCCAAAATATTTGACAATCTAATATCGTTCTAAACGTCCTGTCCAATGTACTTAAAGGCAGATGTACTTTTTTTTTTTAATATTTTATTTATTTTTCAACAGAGAGAGAGGTAGCGAGAGAGGGAGGAGTGAGAGGGAAAAGCAGGCTTCCCGTTGAGCAGGGAGCCCAAAGTACCAGATGTATTTTAAAATCAGTTTTTTTAAAAAGAATCATACACTGTAATTAACTTACAAAGTGCATTTACCAGCATTTGTGTAGTGAAATTGGGCAAATAGCTTAAAAGTTACTTGCCCCATTCTTTTTTTTTTTAAGATTTTATTTATTTGACAGAGAGAGAGAGACAGCAAGAGAGGGAACACAAGCAGGGGGGGCAGCAGAGGGAGAGGGAGAAGCAGGCTTCCTGTGGAGCAGGGAGCCCAGCGCTGGACTCAATCCCAGGACCCTGGGATCATGACCTGAGCCAAAGGCAGATGCTTAACGACTTGAGCCATGCAGGCGCCCCTACTTGCCCCTATTCTGAAAGATGATGAATTTGAGATAAGAGAAGTTTTAACTTTGTGTAGTCCTCATGCAATTTAGAAGCAAAGACGTTTCCTCACCAAAACACTATGAGTAGAATTGGGAGAGATTTTCTGAAGAGGGTAAGTTTTTCTTCATTCAATATCAGGCTCTAGTAAACTATTCTTTGCATTGATAAAGGATTGTGTGGTGGTTTCAGCTATGGGCTTTCATTGGTAGGCTTCTCAATGCTCAGAACAAGGTCTAGCTCTGTGGTGTTGTGCTTGTTTGCTAGGACTACTGTAACAAAGTACCACAGAAATTTAAATGGAATTTATTGTCTCTTGTCTAAAATCAAGGTGTTGGTAGTTGGTTCCTTCTGAGTGCTAAAAGGCAGGCATCTATTCCAGGCTTCTCTCCTTGGAATGTAGATGGCTACTTTCATGTACACGTGGCATTTTCCCCGTATGCATGTTTATCTCTAATTTCCCTTGTTATAAGAATACCAGTAATATTACATTACAGCCTACCCTTAGGATCTCATTTTAGCACTATAACCTCTGTAAAGACCTGTCTCCAAATAAGGTCACATTCTGAGATACTGGGACAAGGACTTCAACATACAATTAAGCTTATGAAATTCAAGTTAACTAATATTTGAATACCTGTATTATACAAAGATAACATATACCAGCTGATACCATTTACTGATTTATATTCTTATGCCATTTAAAATGTTTTTTTCCTTTTCTATAAGACTAAGAATCTCAAGAGACCAAGTTTTCAAGTTAGATTCTAAGGTGTTGCTTTTGCTTGTTTTAAAAAAGCTTCTCTGGGGGCACCTGGGTGGCCCAGATGGTTAAGCATCTGCCTTTGGCTCAGGTCATGATCCCAGGGTCCTGGGATCAAGCCCCACATCGAGCCCCTGGCTCAGCATGGAGCCTGCTTCTCCCTCTCCCTCTGCCTCTCCCCTTCCTCATGCTCTATCTCTGTGTCTCAAATGAATAAATAAAATCTTTACCAAAAAAAAAAAAGCTTCTCTTTGAGTTAATGTGTAAAACTAGATAGCCCCGCTTGTAAGAACATCAAGGGCTCCAGCTTGACTTTTCCTATTTATATATACTAGTGACTTTATTCTTTTAAATTTTTTGACTAGCTGGTGTTATGTGGAGATGGAGTTGTGTCTATAAAAACTGGAAAATATGTTCAGCTTTTCTTTGAACATGGCTTCCCCTCATGACACTGCTCCCTACTGACTTTAGAGCCATAGATCCTTCCAGCTCATATAACTAGATTATACCAGATGAAACGAGCTTGGAAATGCAATTCCCAGGGCAATTGCAATGAAAACTCCACACTGGAACCACCTATTATTTTCAGACACTAATGGATATGAAGTTTTCCTCTTGTGGGAGAATGTGCCTGTCTTTTTCCAATGATCATAAGGCTCTAACAAAAAGGATTTCCATTTTTATTATTTTACATTCTTCAAAACAAGTAAAACATTAAAATGTATAATTCATAAAGACTAAAAACTGTAATCTAAAGTGAAAATGACTTGTTAGGGATTTTCAAACTATTGTCAGGTAATTCCTATGAAATAAAGAAATGAAAAAAAAAATCTGTGAAGAAGAAATAAACATTGATGGAGGAAAAGAGCTGTTAAACAGGAGAAGTATAAAAAGGTGATGGCAAAATACAACCTTCCAAGGCTTATAGCCAACTTGCTAACGTCATCTACAGAGTAGTTTTGTATTTATTCTACTTGAGCAGGTCTCTTGGGTCCTTTCTCTGGATAAGTATCTTTAACTAATAAAGTGATTATAAATGAAAACAAGGCCACTAAAGTGACTACTATCTTAAGGGCTTTGAACCAATTGGGATAATGTGGCAAGAGAAAAAGTTCAATGTGTAATGCTATCCCCAAACCTATTATTACTGTGACTATAGCTTCACTGAGTCTTTCAGAAATAAGGAAGGCAAACCATGAAAACACAACAGGAACTGTACTATTAGCTAAATTGAGGAAGTCTGGTTTGGCTGTACTACCTTCTGGCAGAGCAAAACCCCATCTGATCCCTCCCAAGAAAGATAGGAAACTGGCTCCATAAGCCATCTGAGTAAAAGCTAATAAGGGGATGTAAGTCTTTGTCATCACCATGACCAGTGGTGGAGCAACAAAGGGGATTAGTCCTGCCAGAGTTATGTATAATGCTGGCTTTGGGCTGTCAAGCAGGTAAGTGATGGTGCTTGCTGGCTTGGCTGGAGGTATTTCTTGCTTTTGCTTCTTAAAGCTGCATGGGGAAGTATGATAGTATTGTGTCTTCCTCATATACACTGGTAATGAAGAGAAAAACCAAGGCCTTGGAAACAAAGGGGGAAAGTTCTGTTGGTGACATGTCTTGAGAGAAAGTGTTTCTATTTTGCTGGCTCCTACTCGGACTGGGAAAGGGTACTTCAGCATCTATAGAGAAAACAATACCAACAGACAAAAACAGATTTTTAAATAACCACATGTTAGTTAATCCCAAACTGAAACAATATAAAAACAAACCATCTGCTTTCTATTAGTACATCAAACTTTGCAGAAAGGTTGGACTACAGGGTGCTATTAATGCTAGCTAAGACAAGCAAACAGCTATACAACATGCAAAAGAAACTACTGAAAAGAAACCTAGTGATGTATTTTGGCCTACCACTAATTTTATCCCATGAGAGGACTATCTGAAAGAATAGGTAAAGACTATATCTTTAGTATCTGGCATTTTAAACTGTCTCTTCTATTTATAACATGCAAAAAGGAGCAGCATTAGTTACTGTGGGAATGCTGTTTTGTATAAAGTAATCTACCTTCCAGTTTAGCTTTAGAGACACTAAATACTTTCCATAGCTCCGTTGCTTCTTATATGCCTTTGCCTAGAATTCTAACATACTACTTTTTTTTCTTTTCTTTTTTTTTTTTTTGAGACAGGGAGTGGGGAGGGGCAAAGGGAGAGGGGGAGAGAGAGAATCTCAAGCAGGCTCCAAGTCCAGTGTGGAGCCTGATCCCACTACCCTGAGATCAACACCTGAGCTGAAATCATGAGTCAGATGCTTAACTGACTGGCTACCCAGGCACCCCCTAACATACTACTTTTCTATCTAGGGAACCTATCTTTGAAAATTCAGCATGAAGGTTTCCCTAATCTGAATTAATACTCGTATAAGTACCTTATGCACACTCCTATCATAATTCTCACAGTGAATTTAAATCATGTGTTGGTCAGGGCGCCTGGTGGCTCTGTGGGTTAAACGTCTGCCTTCGGCTCAGGTCATGATCCAGGGTCCCTGGATTGAGCCTGCTTCTCCCTCTCCCACTCCCCCTGCTTGTGCTCGTGTTCTCTCTCTCTCAAATAAATGAATAAAATCTTAAATAAAAAAAAATCATGTGTTTGTCTGTCTCAGTATACTTGAGGGCCAGGCCAGTAATTTTTTCTTTGCCTTAAAAAAAAAAAAAACACACAAAAAAACCCTCCCCAGTGCCTTTCATGGTACATGGCCAAAGTAATAACCTTTCCTGCTGATTCTGTGCTTTAGTGAGCAGATTCCAGACTTCAACTAGTTAATAGATGAAGAGTAACTCAAAAAGCACTGGATGAAAGAAAAAAATGAAAGTTATTTAAGAATCTTGGTGACTCCTTAAAATGCTAGGAATTATTCCATCCTGGGGCCTTTTCTTCCTTTTGTTTGGAATGTTCTTCCCTGAGCTACTTGCATGGCCAATTCCCTCTCTTCTTACCTCTCTAGTTTTTTAAAAATAGATTTATTTAGGGTGCCTGGATGGCCTAGTTGGTTAAGCGACTACCTTCAGCTCATATCATGATCCTGGAGTCCCAGGATCAAGTACTGCATCAGGCTCCCTGCTCAGCGGGGAGTCTGCTTCTCCCTCTGACCCTCCCCCGTCTCATGCTCTCTCTCTCAAATAAATAAAATCTTTTTAAGAAATAATTTATTTGTTTACTGGGGGGAGGGGGAGAGAATCTTCAAGCAGACTCCCCTGAGGGTGGAGTCCAATGTGGGGCTCAATCCCAGGACTCTGAGATCATGACCTGAGCTGAAATCAAGAGTTGGATGCTTAACCGACTGAGCTACCAAGGCGCCCCTATTTTTTTTTTAAGATTTTTTATTTTTAAGTGATCTCTACCCCCAACATGGGGCTTGAACTTACTACCCTGAGATCAAGAGTCAGCACCCCTGGCCCCTCTATTTTTTTTTTTTAAGATTTATTTGAGAGAGCACGAGAGAGAAAGCATGAGCAGTGGGGGAGGGACATGGGGAGAGGGAAAAGCAGACTCCCTTCTAAGCAGAGAACCCCACATCAGGCTGGATCCCAGGACCCTGATATCAGGGCCCCAGCTGAAGACAGATGCTTAACTGACTGGGCCCAGGCACCTCAGACCCCTCTATTTTTAAGTGCAATCCTAAGTCTATTGTTGATAGTCCCTATTCCCCTTCCCTGCTCTTATAGTTCTCCAGAGGACCTACCCCTTGCAGTATTAAATACTGTATACAAATACTTATACAAATACAAAATACAAATACTTGTTGGTATTTTACCCTTTCCCCCATCACCTAAACATATGAGGATAAGGATTTGTCTTTTTTTTCATTGCTATTGCCCCAGCAATGCACTGCCAGCAAGTATTTGCTCAATAAACCAACCTTTGAAGATGCTTGAGAAAATTTCTGGATGAAATGAAGCATACTGGATCCTACTGAAAGTCTTGCTCAGGAAGATGCCAGGCAGTTCTGATTAATGCATTTTTATAGCTAAGTGGAGGAGCTGAATGAGAAGCATGTTGCTGTGTATAAAACAAGAAGTCACTTAATTTTCTTCATTTTATGCATAATTTTTTATAAGTAGGAACTCGAGAATTTTTTCCATATAACACACTTACCTTTGAAAACAATCATTAATGTTTTCTGGAAATCACTAATACATTAAGTAAATAATCCTTTTCTTCTCTGAACCATTCTTTTAGCTTTTGCTAAAAGCTGGTGTAACAGAAAAAGTACTGCCAGAGACAGAAGATCTGTATTTTACAAATACCTCTACAGGGCGCCTGGGTGGCTCAGTCGGTTAAGTGGCTGCCTTCGGCTCAGGTCATGATCCCAGGGTCCTGGGATCGAGCCCCGCATCGGGCTCCCTGCTCAGTGCAAAGCCTGCTTCTCCCTCTCCCACTACCCCTGTTTGTGTTCCTGCTCTCGCTGTCAAATAAGTAAAAAATCTTAAAAAAAACAAAAAAAACAAAAAAAAAACACAGATACCTCTATAATTCCCCAGCTGTGTGACCTTGGGTAAATTGCTTCCTTGAAGTGTAGTTTTCTCATCTTTATTTTTTTTTTAAGATTTTATTTTATTGACAGAGAGAGACACAGTGAGAGAGGGAACACAAGCAGGGGGAGTGGGAGAGGGAGAAGCAGGCTTCCCGCCGAGCAGGGAGCACGATGCGGGGCTTGATTCCAGGACCCTGGCATCATGACCTGAGCCAAAGGCGACGCTTAACGACTGAGCCACCCAGGCGCCCCTAGTTTTCTCATCTCTAAAACTGAAGGTTATAGCTTCTCTGTTCTCTTTTTCACCTTAGTTATCTATTTTGGGGCTTAGATGTTTACAGCTCAAAATAATGATGGTAGCAATTAATACAATTTAGCTGTGAACCAAGCACTGTAACTAGTGTTTTATATGCATTAACTCATTTATTTTGTTTTTAAGATATTATTTTTAAGTTATCTCTACACCCAATGTGGGGCTTGAACTTATAACCCCATCAAGAGTCACATGCTCCCACTGAGCCAGCCAGGCGCCCCTGCATTAACTCATTTAATACAATAACCTCATCAACTTGGTGCTGAGAGACAATATAGCCTGTTGGGTTACAGTGAAGATTTTGGAGTCAATTTGTGTTGGGATCATGGCTCCACGACTTATTAGGTATGTGATTTTGTACAACGTATTTAATTTTGTTATGTTGTAGTTCACTCACTTTTGAAACAATTAAAATAACTACATAGCTTCGTTGTAAATATTAAATGAATTAATATATGTAAAGAGCTGCAAACTGTCTCTGACACCAAGTAAGCATTCAAAAAATAATAGCTATGGGGCGCCTGGGTGGCTCAGCCGGTAAGCGTCTGCCTTCGGCTCAGGTCATGATCCCAGGGTCCTGGGATCGAGCTCCACAACGGGCTCCCTGCCCCCACGGGAAGCCTGCTTCTCCCTCTCCCACTCCCGCTGCTTGTGTTCTCTCTCTCGCTGTGTCTCTGTCAAATAAATTAAAAAATCTTTTAAAAAAATAGCTATATTCCCACCCTACACAAGAGGAAATGGTTAAGAACTCTAACGTAAGCAACCAGTAAGTGGTTGAGAATATGAATCTAGATCTGTCTTACATGAGTTTCATTCTTAACCAGGAGAATGAGGTGTCTAAAAGATCCAAAAACCACATTTGCTACCTAATTAAATATTTTAATGAACTGATTTCTAGGTCACAGCTCTTAGGGCCGGGTAGAGGAATCTGTATACCAAAGACTTATCTTGGGCCTCTGACTACATCTTAGCACCTAACATCCACCTCCTGACTTCAAACACATATCTGCAGGGCCCACACACTCACTGTTGGTCAAAAGCACCTGCGTAAGGGCTTTCCAGACCACCCCACTTAAAAATCTCAACGCTCTCTTCACATTTGGAATTCTCTATGCACTGTGACCATGTGCTTTCCAACTCCTGGGTGTTAAATGTAAAGAGTGATAGCCTGTATCTCGGGGACGGCCACTGGTGAGGAAATGAAGGGCAAAGACCTCAGGGTTAATCCGCTCAATTTAGGTTAAAACGCCCGATATTGCCACTGCCCCAGAGGAAATAGTTGCAAACTGCATGCCTCAGAGCCGACTTCTGAGAACAGGGCGCGCTGTGAGAATACAAGGATCCTCGGGAAACTGCCTGACATTCCCCGCGGCTTTGATTTACTCTCAACCCTTGGTGCCCCCTCCCCCCAATTTGTACACGGTGGCAGCAGCCCTGCTGTTATATATATAAGTATACTTGCCAGTGTCGAACCGGGGGTTGAAGAGCTGAGTTGCAAGAACAGCCAGGTACTCACGAAAAGGCACTTCCGGCAGGTGGGGTTTAGCAGTCTCCCCCCGCCCCCCCACTTCCTGAGAACAGAAAAAAAAAGAGTCCGGGTGGGGACTTGACCGGCGCTAACTGGTTCCCGGGCAGGGCTTTCCATCTTGAGTCGTTCTTTTAAATCTGAAATTCTGGAGGCCGGCTTTTGAAGTCTGTAGGGTACCTGAATGGTCCTTGCCTCTCTCTTCCAGGTTTCCCAGCCAGCAGAATCTGGCCCTCAGAATTCGGAAAGGTAGGGCACAACTACTGAAACAATCTCAAGTGATGGTGTTGTAGGAAGGTAGGAGAAATTCGGAGTCTAGGCCAAGTGAGACTTGGCCAAATTGCTTGCCATCTCTGGAACTCATAACAGGGTTTCTAGGATCGATGGGGCACATCTTACTCTGTGTTAGGGTCCTAAACTACTAACACTAAGAAAAACAAAACTGTTACTTCCATTCTCTTTGCTTGGACCTAGAAACTCCATTAAGAAATAAGAGCACAAAGGGCAGGATTTTCGCTTCCATAAGTGTGGTGATAACTGTCTTGGGCTTAGGGTTGATCTGAAAAGTTAGATCATTTTCCGTCACCCTTTGCTTTAACTTTTATTTGTTGGTTCTGTGACCTTGGACAAGTCTCTTTTCTTCTCTGGGCCTCCATTTCATAGTCTATCAAGGACACAGCACCAGACAATTTGAGCGTCGTTGGCCAGTTCCTCCATTCCCCTGGATTCTGGGTAATGTAGCTTCGTGGTTGTCGGCCATCATATGGCTTAGCGTCCCGTGCAGAATGGGCCCATTGCGAATTCTTCGTAATAGTAACCGCTTCTAATCCCAATAGGCTTTCACTTTTATTTCCTTCTCTGTCTGTCACGGCAGCGCCGCCCCTTCTAGTAGTGCGATACCCAATGAGACTTTAGGTCAGAGAAACAGCTTCTCCGCCCTGGCATAGGAGCAGGCTGCGGACAGATAACCGCCTTGCGCGGGGCCAGGGGCCTGACGCCAGCGGTCGGGCGGAACTACCACTCCCAGCGGGTAGCGCGTCAGGCCTAGCCGCGCAGGCTTCCAGAGCACGGCGGTGTGGCCCGCTGGGCGCTGGAGTCTTAATGATGTGCGCACGTGAAGGAAGGAAGGAGCGGAAGGTGGGAAAGGTCGGAAATCACGATCCTACGAAGCCGGTTTGCTAGTACTTGTACGGGTAGTTTGGGGACGCGAGCATGCCCAGAAGTGGGGTACGGGAGGGTGAAGGGGCGGGGAAAACGGTACACACATACACACCCACCCACTTATTCACACGCTTCCAGGCCCTGTGTTGGGCCAGGGAATAATAGGGGTTCCAAACTCGGCTGGTCGCCCCCCTCTGAGGCGGCGCGACGAAAGGCATAGCGTTCAATTCTGCAGAGGGGTGGGGGCAACTACGCACAGCCTCGAGCCCCGGTGAGGAGGGTTGGGGAACCGCGCAGGGAGTAACTGCCGTTCACGCGGCGGAACGTCGGCGGCGTGAGGCACCGGCAGGGTCACCCGAACAGGGCTCCTGCGCTTGCGCTCCTGTGGGCGGTGCGAGTGGGTGGGCGTGTGTGGGGCGGGGTCGGCGGGGGGGAGGGCCAGGCTGGTCGTCGCTCCTCCCCCCCTGCCCCTCCGGGGCCGTGTGGGCCGGGCAGCCATTTTGGGAAGAGCTTTGTTATGGTTGTGGGCTCTCCACCTCTGCAGGAGCAGGAAGCTGGGGACGCGCCCTCAGACGTTGCGTCTGGTCCCTAGCTGTAGCCCCACTGCAGTCGGGTAAGTGGGGGTTCCGGAGAACCGGGCGGTGGGGGATCTTGAGTCGTTCCGGCGCGGGGCTCCGCCCGGTGCCCAACCGACCGGCTGTTGAAACTAGTTGAAGAAGGCTGTCACACAGGTGGTTGGTGTCGGTCGGCCTGGGGTGGGGCAGAGAAGCCGAGGGGCCAGCGGTCCTGTTGTTCGGATGGGGCACCTCCCTCCGCGCGAGGAGCTTTGCAGTCGAGTGTCGCCGCGGCTTTGCCCGAGCGCTCCTACTTCAACTTTGGTCTTCGGGTCGGAACGCTCACCTGCGGCTCTCTGGCTCCTCTCCAGGCGTTCCGGCTTGTCGGTGGTTGAGTGGCTTGGTTTACGGGTTTCTTTTTCTTTCCTCCCTGAATTAGAGCCAAGGGCTTCTGTTTTACAACGAAGGAAAATTTAAGAGGAAAAAATCGTGTAAGTCAACTGTGGGGCAACTGAGGGGAAAAGAAGAGCTTTAACCACCAACGTTTAGGTTCTTGGTTTCGAGGTGTTTTCTTTGATTTAGATTAAGTCGGTATCCAGCACCTACAGATTGCCTCCCTCCCCCGAAAAAAAGCTGGTCGATCTTGAAGAGTTTTAAGGAGGATTTTTTTCTGTTTTAAATCTACCTCTCTCCACCCCCGTGAAATTCAAAAGAAAGGCTGAATCTAAAATGGCTGTAGCTTGGGGAAGTGCCCTAAGCTTCGGTAACTTAAATACGTTTCCATGTCTTAAATTTTTGGTTGTTTCACTTATGAGGACAGCAACTGAATCTTTTGATATTTTGGTCTTCCTGCAATTGCTGTCTTGTCTTGAAGAGTCCTTTTAGGTGAAAACAAAGGTGAGGCTAAAGAAGTTTGCTTACTCCAAAAGTTTACGTAAGAGTGGGTGCGGTTTTGTGTGTGTGTGTGTGTGTGTGTTTTGTGGTTGCTTATAGTTTTGAAATTGTGCTATGTTGGTAATTTTATCAGCCAACTTTGTGCTCTGAGGTTGGTTTGCATTGTTTGTCGAAATACGCTCTTAACGTTGATACTTATTGCTTACCAGGGGGAAAAAAAAAGTTAATCGTGGTTCATGTTTTAGTTTAATAACAAGTCACACGTTTCTTTGTAAATCCCATCCAAAAGTAAAGTGATTGGTAGTCTTCAAAAGACTTAGATTTGTAATTTGGCGGACTTCTGGCCTTTTATGTGTAATATTTGAAAAGGAATCAGAGTGCTCTTAAGTTTAGGACATTTATTGCAATGGTGAGACAAGTGAAAACGAACTTTAGATGTGGAGCTCCTGATTGTTGTGCCCTTTCAAACAAAAGGCTGTCTTTTTGTTTGCCTTTTTTTTTTAAACCATTAGATCCAGAAGTTTAACTGAAAATGCAAAGGCATACAATGGAAACCAAGAACAGATAACTTCAGTGTTTGGGAAGGTGCTTCACTTTCAGGTGCAATCTCTCTAAAAGATAAAAATAATAAAATCCTAGTTGTGAATGAGAACTTGGGAATTAATAGTAAAATAAGCTGTCATCTTCCCTGGGGAGTCAGTTTCACTTTACCTTCCTACATTCTTTCAACACACAAGTTTATCTTTTTGTCAGTTCCCTTGGGATTTTTTTGTTCTTAAATTATTTTGTTGATTTTATAAGAAAAACATTTGAAGTGCCCTATGGAAATAACAAGTCCATTGCTTTATGTTTTGCCATTTGCCTACTGAACCCATAAACTTGGGTACTCAAAATGGTTTGTACATGTTGATATATTTTTTCATTTGGTTGTGGATAGTATCTTATCAGAGTTCTTGAAATGGGGGGTTGATGTTAGGAAGCCTTTTTATTTTGAACAAAATGCAACTCACCAGTTTTCTCATCAGTAGCTGCTTAAAAGCTTGGCTGAAGGGGGCACATGCAGCCATTTTAATAAGTTTGGAATGATACGGAATCTGGAACACATTTCTGTTTATAATTCATTTTTAAATTCTCAGTTAAAGATATAATACACAATTATGAATCATACTTCAACAGATTGCATATCTTTGTTTTATGGTTAAATTGTATGTACTTGGTAACAGTGATAACAAATGCGCACCGACCTAAGCAATCTGTTTCTAAGTCATTAATCATTATGGGTGCTGTCTTTATCTATGAAAATAAGACTATTGGAAAGGTGAAAGGCACAACAATTTTAAAGGATCCCAATTAAAAGAGTACTTAATGGAAAAGGTAAATTTTGCGGTGGGTTGTTTATGGTTTTTCAAATAGATGGGAGGAAAAATCTAGGTAGCACATTGATATCATGTTTCCTCACATACCACTATAGTTGCCATTGTTTGGAATTTAATATTTGGTATGCTGAGACCTAGTTGTCCAAGTCGTTTCTAAATCACTCTGATTTTTATTTCCCATTGAAACCCGCTCCAAAACAAAACTGGCTACAATCAGACTTGAAAAGTAGTTCTGTAAGAATAATCTGAACTTTCTTTGTCCAGGGGTAATCTTAACTAAGGAGGTAAAATACTAATGTTATGTAATATGAATTTTTATAGGTGATTTCAAATATACTGGGCAAACATTTCAAGAAGTCAAATAGTTCTTTTCCTTTACTAAAGCAATCAGCTTTTTTTCTTTTCTTTCTCATTTCAAGAAAAGCTACAGGCTCTACTGTGGTGCCAGTTTTGGTGTGCTAAAGGCTAGAAATGCCTAAATAACATAAAACATTTTGTCAACAAAGAACTTAGTAGTTTAACAGATAAGTGGACAGTGTTACAGGATGACAAACATAGAAAGCTGTCTTTCTTAAAGAAGTTGGCTTTTAACATACTCATTATGTTTACCTTCCTTTTCTGTGATAAAACTGCTTTGCCTTATGTTAACCAGATATCAGGCTAGAGAATCACCAGCATGAACAAAGCTTTAGTACACTTTTCTGAGGAGGAGGTCTATTTGTGTGGAATATATTTTGTTTTCAGAAAAATCAAATTTAAGTTGAGCTATACTTCAGATTTCAAACTCTTGTTTCTGCTGATTGTAAGTTTAAATTTCATTATATAAAAAACTCTCTTCTGAATTAATACTACCTTTGAAGTATATTGAAAAGTTGTTTGGGGGCTCTTTGGCTAGTTAATTAAAAGGTAGAGCCATTCCAGTGTTCCTGCTATATGTTTATGAATTATTAGCTCTACTTTTTAATTAGTCTTACGAGGTCTGATGGAAAGGGTAGT